GGTCCTTTTGGTTTTCGGACTCGGTCCATCCTGTTGTCGACTCATTTTCCCGACTCGCCGGCCACCCCAAAGGCAACTGTGAGGCAGCCTATGATTTCAGTGTCAACTCTTGAACTTCGAGACCGAACATCGCATTTGTGGTCGTCCATTCTCCGTCTTCCACTTTGTCTGCTAGCTCCGTTTTGCTATCTCTTCATAAATGAAGGTGTGGAAAGTGTGCCGACATCCGTTCCTCCTTGAAGTTGCTCCTGGACTGGTGCTTGCAGGCCACTGCAGCAGCTAAGGCTGCGCGAGTGGTGCAGCCAGCTGCTGAAGAGGTTGCGGCAAAGTGGTTCTGAGATGCCAGATTGAGTCGACGTGATTGCAGGACCCACCAGTGGATGACTCGTGGATCGACATCCTAGAAAGCAACGAGACAAAAGACAAGGAGGTGTGCTTCTTTCCCCCCTACGAAGCGTCGTTGTTGCATGTTGCGTCGGATTGCCCAATGCGACTTTGGTGTCGATTCTTGCCGACTCTTGCCTTGCCAGGCACGAGAGCGCACGGCACAACGAAGAGAACGCAAGGTGGTGAGACCAAGGCTGGATGGTTCGGATGTTTGCATCAGCTCAACAGCAGCCTGACGACCGCAGACGTGTTGAGCCATTGAGGCGAGCTCGAAGCGGTAACGCAGGCCGGCACTTCAGGTACTTGGCACTGCATGCCCGCGATCTTTGCTCTCAAGACGAGCGATGTTCAAAGTGCTGCCACTTGCTGCCCGGAGAAACTCAGAGACGGGCCCGGTTTCGCTTTTGGAGGCCGGCGCGAGAACGAGATCGAGATCGACCCCACCAAGGCACCACAGATGGCGGCCGAATTGTGAGAAACACGGCTGCTGCGTTCTTCACGCATAGCAGGGCGGTGGAGCTGGAGGCAGCCGACTCCTAGATTGCAGTTGGCTTCTTTGTACTTGAGATGTTGTTGCATGTGTGCCCTTGGAAAACATGTTGGTGTGGTTGCACTGTGTCGCGTGGACACCGTACCACGCCCCGACCAAAAAAAAGGTGCCGGTATAACCAAACAGAACCTTTCTTGGGCTTTGGCAGATCAAAAGCCTGACCAACAAGACGAGCTTCCCAATGAGGCCTTGCTTGACTTGCTTCTTGTTTGGGAGTGCAGAGCTTGGCAATAATGAAAACAAGAGTGTGACAATTAGTGTCTGCATCGTTTCAGCTTTCGTGGTTGAAGTGCGAGGAGCTTTGTCGCTTGCATGTTTAGTTGTTCTCCATGTTCGAGCCGACAGGCCCTTGACAGCGCCACAGACACTGGCGATGAGGACGTGTAGTGCAGGTCTGCAAACCTTCATTCTTTCTGTCTTTGGATTTGTGCCTGCGTCATTTTTCTGAAATCCCTTCTGAATTTTTTCTTTTGGAATCCCAGATTGGTGATTTGAAGATCGAGGCTGGAAGAGATGGTTTCAGATGACAAAGCCGGTGAAGTTCAGAAAAAGACTCAGGGGCCAAGAAAAATCCAAGCTCCAAGAATGTCTCTGTTGGCACTGTCTCTGTGTCAAGTGTGTGTGTGTGTGTGTGTGTGTGTGTGTGTGTGCGCGCTCAATCTGTGTGTGTGTGTGTGTTTCCCAACCGGCATTCTGTCAAAGGGCCGGGCGTAGACGCTTGATTCGACTGGATCAAACATGTATGCACGCCACGCGCGCTGCCAGGACTTGCCGCCAAAGACGTATCATCAGCTTGACGATGCCAAGTTCTTGGAGGCAGACGAGGTCATCTGGAGGGCTCACTGGGGTTTCCGCAGCAGCCGAACGGACATGCTAGCGCCAGGCCAGTGAAGGAGAGGGATGGATAAAAAACTCCACGATCAAGCTTCGCGGAGCACGCAGACGAGGCAAGAAGCAGCATCTTTGGTGAAGATGAGGCTGACTTGCAATTTTTCATGGCAATTTTGCACGGCAGGTGCATCGCAAGCGGAAGAGGCTGTGCATAGCTGGGAGATGGCATGAGGGGAGATAGATTTATGCTGCAGGAACCTGCTGCGGAGCCAGATCCCCAGTATGAGAGGGACAATGACAAACAGGAGCTTGAGGTACAGAATCTGGACCAGACCGAGCCGCAGACAGCTCAGAGAACAGCTCAGAGAGCTCAAGATACCTCAAGTGCTTTGTCCAAGCGGCAGCGGCAGCGGCTCCGGCAACGCCAAGCTTGTGAAGATGCACGAGCATCTGGCCGCAAAGCGGCGCGGCTCGAGGCGGGTCTCTATTCTGCTCATTTCTGCTCGTGTGATGTCTTTTTGTCTTGACACAGGCCCCAGTCAAGAGGACAGAGAAAGCAGAGGCGGCAACCGTGGCAAGCGCGGCGAGTGTGGCAACCACTCCAGATCCAACCGCAGCTGCTGAAGCCAAAGTGGATCGGCCAGATGTCCCGGTGGACTCAAGCTCCGCGGAGGAAGCTAAGGCTGGGCCAAAGCCAAATTCTTCGTTGACTCCGTATATGATGGAGTGTGCACTCTTGAGATAGGTCGGAAGTTTTTTTTATTCTAGGTCCGAAACTCGAGCAGGCAAACCGAACTGTACACTGCATGGCAGCAGTAGATTCGCACTAGATCTCTGATTTTTCACTAGAAGTTTCATGTTTCGCACCTCCTATCCCACAGATTGGTCACACCTTGGTACCTGTGTGTGGATCAGCTCAGTTTTTCGGTTTGAGTTGGAACGGTGTATGAAGTGTCAGGCGGATGATGTACAGGAGTTGGCACCATCCTTCGCGGACATCGTTGCGGGAAGACCTCCGAGGCGGACCATGCGCTTCCTAGCGGCTGCAAGATCACGGTGCAGATGCTTTCTGAGATTTGTTAGGCCATTGGGAGATGAATCGGACACTGCCAAGGTGCGGCACGGACACAGCTGAATTGAAACCAGTCAGGGTCAACTGCTTAGTGTTTTTTTCCTCGCTGCTGCGGATCCCCGCCGTTTGTGCTGGGCCCTGTGAGTGGCGGTGCTGTTGCAACATGTGGTTGGCCCATTTGGCCCTTCAATGCTTGTGTCAGCTGCCCCATTGTTGTGATGCTGCCTGATGGATTGTCAACCTTTCTGTCTTTGCTGTCGCCATGTAGTATTCATGCCCCATGAGTCGAACATCCACGTTTCAAGCATGTCCTGGGCGATGTGCCTGGAAGTTGCCTGGACAACTCCGAAGATAGCCTAGCGGCTCTATTGCAAGCTTGGGCAACGAGTCTTTGTGTTGTAGCTGTGGTATTCCTTCCGATTGTTCACACAGCTGAAGTCGGGCAGCGTGCGTTTGGACGTAGTGTATTTCTGGCTGCAGTCGACAGACCGGCACTTTCCTAGCGGTCCTAGCGCGTCCAAGCACTGCAGTTCTTGTGGATCACGGTTTTTCGTGAGTGCTTCCGTGTCGCCAGGCTGGGCAACTGCTGGGCTCTAAGATGCTTTAAGTCGTTGGTCAATCTTCCCGGGAACTCCATGTTCCCAGCATTTGTCGTGAGTCTGTGGGTTCCTCAGGTTTGCAGCCGATGCTCCAGATTTTGTACCCATGGCAGCCATGACCGAGATGCCGTTCCAGGCTTGTGGCTGCGCTGCTCGGAGTTGTCATGAACATTTGGGTGCCTCTGCTTTGGGCGCAGGGTATCATCACCTTCATCCCCATTCAGGGATCGGAGAATGCTCCGGGATATTGGACTCAGCCAAGTTTCGCTGAGGCTCGTTGGATTGCAGAGCTTATGTGCGACAGGCACTATAACATCATAACGTCAAAGCATAGTAACGTGGCATGCGTCAGCCGGGGTGTAGCGCTCCCACCTGCTCTGGAAGGACATGATCAACGGCCCTTTCGTCTCTCCTTTCCAATGGTATTGTGATCCAAACTGTTTGCCACGGCCCCGTGCGAGGTCTTGAATTGAGAAATCCTCTGATAGTGAGCGACCGAGGTCAAACACCAAGCTCTCTCCACAGATCCGGCAAATTCACAAGAAGCAGTGCGTGCGGAGCTTGGCATGACATTCCCTGCCCATCAGGTTGGCGTCCCTAGATTTTCTCTCTCCGGAGCGCCGCTGCCTCCGCTTCCTCAGCTCAACTCCCAAGCTTTTGAACCCCAACCCCACTGACCCTCTCTCCTCTCTGGTCGACCCCAGCTGGCCCAGGTGTTTTTTGGAGATGATTTGAAATCGGTTGTTTCGAGGTTCTCTTGCGGACGTTGCGCACTTTTGTTGACCGATTGGCATGCTGGACTGGGGTTGAGAGTCGTTGAAAGTGCTGAACCTCGATTGCTTACATGCTGACGGTCATGAAGTAAACATGCGCACTAATGAAGCCTCCAATTGCTTCGAAGGGTAGCCATGCAGTAAGCTTGCCAGACGTAGGTAGTCAGTCTGAGTGTGCAATGACGTCATCAGCAGGGAATCTTTTTTCAAGTTGCAACCGGAACATAGCACACCTGCCTTTTGTGGAACAGCAAGACGACAGCCCGACCACAGGTCCACTGTTCTTTTCTCCATCCTGTTTTAGCGACAGGCAAACCACTACAGCGCATTGCTTGCCGAATGATTTTACTTGAACGTTGCTTGACCCACGAGTTGTTGCCCTGATGCTGGCCTGAAGCATTCATGAGCCTCTCAAGCTGCGTGATGATGCCAGAGTGTCCTTCTGGCTATTTTTTTAAATCATGTTCGACTGCCATGTGGCAGTCGGCTCTGGTGTACTGAGGTGGAGGTTTCATGCCTGTCGTCCGAGACAAGCTCGTCCGGCTACATGAAGCAGCTTGATGCCTGGGGCCTCGCAGGCTTAGAGTATGCTTGTTGGAAGCACAGGTTTTCTTGCGGCCCTTGCAGCTCAACAGGGACATACGACTTCCTGCACGTGGTGAACGGTGGTGATGCTTGCACTGCTATCATAAACTTCATCGATCCTGTTTTTGCCAGTGGCTTACTTGATGGATGACCGATGCGTTGCAAAAGCCACCAGCTTCAGATGTTCCTGTCGATGGTTTGTAATGGAAGCGCTGCAGGTGATGCTTTTCTGCTGCATCTGCCAGGATATGCTTGTGTGTCATCAATCACCGGACCGCTCCTCCCTGCAAAATGCTTGCCAGGAGTATGGCTTTCAAGGCAACATCACAACGATTGACGTGCAGGGAGTGGAGGTTCTTGCCTCCGGTTTTCTCTGCGTTCTTAATTGCAACTCACAGGGTCTTTTGGTCCAGGACTTGCGTTAGGCAGAATGGTATGAACGCGTCGCAAGGCCCTGACTGAACGCTGGTCACATCATGACGTTCAGAGCGACGCCGCCCAGCCCGTGATCCTCACCGATGAAGCTCGGCCTGATTTTGCTTTGTACGGTTTCTATACTCTGGGATCAGCCTCTTCCTTTGGTGGATGTTTTGGAGGAAGGGCGCCTAGGCCGCTTCTTGTTCAGGCGTCCGCGTTCGCTTTTCTCGCTTTCAAGACTTCAAGACTGCTTTTCTAAGGTGGTAGAAAGTAAATTGTGCTAAATAAACGGCGAGGAGGGAGGGATTGCAATTTGGGGATAAAACGGACATTTTTCGCTCGCTGCCTTGTCAACCTTGTCAGCTCTGCACGTGTACGGAATGGAAGACATGGCGGTAGGTCCTGCTAGGCACTGCTGGGCGCTGCCACGCTTAAGTTGCAGACATCAGCCCTCTGTTCTGGCTTTGCAGCTTAAAACCTGGGATTACCTCTTGAAACTGTTGACTCAGCAAGTTAAGCTCGGGATGCCATCAACAAGGTACGGGTCGTGTTTTACTCCTCAGCTCAGTTCACGAAGCTTTATTCCGTTCGTTTGATATGCCGGTGCAGTTCAACTTCTTTGAGGTCATGGCCTCCTCTTCCCTTCGTTCTCGCCCCGCAAGAGGATTTGATGCCGACACAGCGTTCACTTGTCCCAAGTCTATTCCCCGTCTCACTATGGCATGCTTCGCTGTCCGGAATCTCTAGATTTTCAGCCTCTGTGTATTCCTCCAGCTTACAGTGTACAGGCTTAGCTCCTTAGCAGCTTAAGCATGGCTTGCATTTCCAGGGTAGATTGGTCTTGGTCGTACTTGATGAGACGCCTCTGCCTTGATCACGTAATCGCTTTTCTGGTTCTTTTGTTTGAAGCGCCAAACTCCATGCTTGAACTCAGGCAAGACCAACGCAGTGGGCCGTGAATGCGGTAAACCACATGCTGTCGTCACAGCCATTGAAAAACCAGTTCCGGAAAACAAAGATGTGCGCCTACAACAAGAAGAAGATGTGCGAAATGGGTCTGGCCCTAAGTCATCTTGCTGGGGCAGATGCGATGCTGCATCGCAGGCACAATAGTGTTCCTCGTTTGTTAATTTGCCGGCAGGTCCGGGATGTCCCTTTGCACACTCCAGAGCGGAGTTGCAGCCAATGCCAGATGAGTTCCGGAAAACTCAGATGTGCCCCTACAATAAGAAGAGGATGTGTGAGCTGGGCCCGGTCCAAAGTTTTCTTGCTTGGGCACACAATCAAGCAGTCACAACAATGTTCCTGATCGGTGTTTCTTGGCTGGCAGAGGTCCAGGGTGTCCCTTCGCCCACTCCAGGGCAGAGTTGCAGCCAATGCCAGACCTGGCAAAGACCAAGATGTGCTACAACTACTTCCAGAGGACTGGGGCTGACCATATGTTGCGAATGCTACGAGAGAGGTCACATCATGAGATGCAGAGGAGATGTACGGACATCCACTGCAAGTTCGCGCACGGATCTGCAGAGCTGCGGTCCGTGTGGACTCAGAGGCCATACTGCACCTGGCCAGTGGAAGAGGCCTGCCGCTTCTTTCAGCCTTGGGCTTTGACCAAACTTGCCTTGTAGCACAGTCCTGTTCATCCGGTATTGTTTTTGGAAGGACTTCAGCTGGAATTCTCCCGATGAGGCAGGCTCACGTCCGCTACCGCATGATCCTTGAAATGTGGACGGGTATCGATGGTCAGCAGCGGATTCGGAAGCTGGAAAAACGTGTTTCGGGAAACGCGGACGGAAACTCGGATTCGGGAAACTGGAAACCACGGATTCAGGAAACTCGGAGGCTTGACGTGCATCATTTGCATGATGCATTCTACATCTAGACAACTTGCCGATGTAAGGTATCAACTCTCAGGTCATGTCATCGTATCGTGTGAACAAGATTTATGACAAGGAACACAGGTTGATTGCAGGGACGTTGCAACGTCATGGTATAATGGTACCCTTGAAACAAAATTTAAAACGCGCCTCCACTATCACTACTGTTTATGCGACACAGACCTTCATTGTGCAAGAGGCTCGACGTGCTCAGTTGGCATCCTTTGCTTGATTTTTTTGTGCCAGATTAAGGCCCACAAACATGAAAAAGTCGTGAGAGGCCGTGAGAGGGCTCAACTCCTCGCGAATATCTTCTTTGGCTGACAAGTTGCGAACGCAGGAAGGCTTTGGCTTGAAGCAGGAAATCAATCAGAACTCTTCTCATCCCAACGCTGCTGTGTCCGTGGTGCCCTGTCATGCGGCATCGTTAGCTTTGCCCCCTTGGAATTTGGTTCATGTCATTGTACCTTCTTTGAAACTAGTTCGGTGGAGATGCTGTGTCGAAAGCGCAGCCTTTGCGTCGCGTCGCACCTTCCTGGCACCTTGCAGAGGACATCCAGACGCACTGGAAGACTCCTTGCAACGGCGGTCAGCAAGGCCTCACAGATCAGCAGACTTAACCAGCGTTTGCGGCTGTGATTGTGCGAACCAACCAAAGGCCGCATGCTAAGTCCTGTGTACCGGCAGAGGATCGGTAAAGGCGAGTGCATTGCACAGGCGACGGTGCTCTTTTCGAAATACTTCCTCACGAAGGCCCGTAGTTTAGGGAATTGAGATCAGTCGAGTGTGTCACTAGACTAGGTTCGGATAGATCTTCAGCCTGAAAGGTAATGCAAGAACATCCGGTCCGGATGAAGGAAGGGCAAATGACATTGCACTTCGTGTCCGGAACAGCTTCCTGGAAGTCATGCAGGTCGGAGCCTCATGCTTCCAACTGATATGAAGGTATAATCGGTATACGGTATAACAGCTGTACACGGTCAGCACGGCATACCACGGAATACTACGGCCACCAGCCTCTCATCCTTTTCCTTGTTCAGTAATTCCTCGTTCATGCCGTCGTAGCACATTGTTTGTGCATGCATCGAATTTGGCACCGCGCAGCTGTCAGGTTGACGGCGATGACGATGATGCTGGAATGCAACATTCAATGAAGCGCTCCTTCAGTGACAGCCACATTGAAACTCTCAAAGAGGCAGGTGCTACTGAGTGCTGCCCCATGATGTCCTGTTCCTCCTTAGGAGTGAAATGGTATACTGTGCAGGCGATGCAAGAGGCAGCAGAGCTCGCTTGATCCGCAGAGTGCGGCCGCAAGTTAGTTTCAGCAGGTGCCCTGAGCTCAACATGTCTTGCGTGCAGTGTCCTTGTCGGAGTAGTGCTGCCACATTGCGACTGCGCTGACTTTGACAGTGAGCCTCAGGCCAATACCTTCATTGAGGCTTTGCAGCCCTAAGTGATAATGAATCTTATCGTGTGCGCGGCAACTGACCTTCGAGCGTTATCGAGCTGGCGAACCCTTTCACAGACTCATGAGACACGCAGCAACTCTGTGTCCTTCTTTGACATGTGCGCACCCGACTTTCTTGGCAAATTACATTTGAAATTCCTTTGTGCATCTTGGAGGAGTCACAACCTCCTCTTTCAAGCAGTAGACTTGAGGCTGTTGGCGCAAACAGTCCGAATTCTACCAAAATAGCAGTGTGAGAGGCAGCTTGTCTTCGATGCGGAGAGAGTTTCGTGGAGGTTATAATTGGTGAACTGCATTCTGGCTTCACAAGTCCTTGTAGTGTCCTCGTGCTTCGTGCCTCTGGACTCCCTCTCAAAACATCCGAGACTCGGCAAAGGAAGTCCCTTCGCTTCGAAAGGCAGTCGATACTTCTCCATATCCACGGCCTAGAACGGCCTAGAGTGCCCGTTTCAGGCCGGTTGATTTTTAAATTTACATGCGGGGGTTCAGCTCCGGCGGCCGCGCAGTTCATGTGGAGAGCCCACAGATAACGAACAGGGTGCGATTTCTTCTCAGAGAGCCTTGTAGGCAAGCGAGCCTTGTTGGCGTTTCTTTCAAATGTATTGCTTCCTGGTCTTGGTCTTTCTGGCTGCAGCCTAGTGGGTTTGTTCACCTCGTGGACAAAGCCATGGCGGTCTTGCAACCGCGTCGGCCGAGGTGGGACGAAACACGCTGGAAGTGGATTCAGAAAGCAGCATGTGAGCCAGGCCAAAGGTGGTGTTGCAGCTTTCCTTCCTGGCCTTGCCTGCCCGATTTCCCTGACAGAAAAAAGTTGGGCACGTCCGCGTCATACGTCCAGCTCAGCAGTTTTACGTCCAGTATTCAGGTCACGCAGGCCTGGACCTTGGAGAAATCTTGGAGCCAGGTGGTTGCTGCTGCGGCCTGGTTTAGCTGGATATGGCCTGCGGAGCATTCTGCGGCGGAGGCTTCACTCCGGGCCTTGGAGTAGATTCAGTGCTGCTGTCTCGCAGTTGTGCTCGCTTTTGTTGTGCTTGTGCGCTGAGAGGATGTCGCCTTTGTGGCCCCTGGGACTCCATCCCTTGATAGGCACGTGATTTTCTTGTCTGGCACTTTGCAACACGTGAAGGAACATGACGTTGCGATGTTGCAAGGCGGGGTTTGGAAGGTCGAGAGACCTCCGCAGTGGCCCAGTTCTTACTCAGCATCCCTACCATTGAAGCAGTTGAAGCTATTGCTTGTTAGGGGTGTTTAAAGTCTAGAGTGAACGCGTTGCCCAGCCAAGCGAGCTCACGTTACAGGCTATGCAGGGAGGCAACCGCAAGCAGAACCGGCGAAACCATCCCAAAAAGCCTGGCTCACAGACTCACAGGTGGCTTTATTTGTCGATGCTTCGCAGTGGCCTGTACCTGATGTGAACTGGAGTCAGGATGCATCCAAAAACACAAGAGGAACGCTACAAGAGGATCTCGCCTCAGCATCGAAGGAAGGCGCACGAATGTCTCTCATGCCATGACTGGAGCCCTCAGCAAATGGCGGCAATCACGTTTGTTTCAGACTGATGCACTCAAAGGTGGGCGGTTCAAATTCCTGATTATGCGATCCGCCTCTTCTTTGTACCAGTGTGCACCTCAGCCAGGTAGGGTTTCGCGCCAAGTTCAGCACCGTCCGGCAAGAAATGGCAAGAATACCTTGAGACATCTCAGGAAGCAACGCTCGAACACTGGTCTCACACTCTCAAGCTTACATTCCCAGATGGTGAGGACATTGGCATGTACACGCACTCGCACCAAAACCCATATCCACACACACACACACAGACGCGCACGGAGAGATGCTTCACTGAACTTGGTTTTTGGGCATCATGATCGGAACGACAGCGAGGATGTTGAATGATCAGTGAAGCAATGCACAGCGAGGCTGTTGCGGATGTATTAGCTCTCAAGCAGGTAATCAGAGGAGCAAGCGTCTTTGTTAGTGCCGGTCTCACCAGTGCCTCCGGCACTCCTTGCATTGGAAAAGTCAGTCCTGACTTGTGCGAACCCAGGTTTAGAATTCATGGTGTACACACATACACCCCCTTTCGGCGGACACGCCTGTTCTTTGGGTCCTGTGATCGTTCCACATGACCTACGCTCTCAATGCTGCTTCAGGAGATAAAGTTTTGGTCCTGATATGTCGATGCTGCAAACGATATTGTTCCCGTCCTCGAATGGTTTAACGACCGGCATTCCTTGCGAACATGCGAAGACTCCACAGACGTATGTGAAGAATGCCCATCCTCCTTGACCGTCCGAATACTGAGAGTCCTCAAACGGCGTATTTGTCAACTCAAAGACCACGAACGGCTAATCAGCAACAAAGACACACGGACTAGGGAGGGCAACCTGCAAAGGGAGATGGGCGGTCCTCTTGCTGAATGGTAATGCTTGCGTGGAACATATAATCATGACGTGCGCTCTGTCTCAGCTTCAATCCTCGCAGTGTCGCATCTATTTGCTTCTGCGGTACGAAATTGCAGCTCTAGTGTCTAAGCAGGTGTACTTCGCGCACGGCTTGAGACAAAAGAATGTCGCGGAATCCACATTGCCGGTATAAAGGGTCAGTCTTCGGCCGTCTGAGTTGGGTCAGGTAACTGTCCAAGACCAAATGGTTTTTGGCTGTTTGTGATGACTGGAGACTGGAGTGCGGTCCTGAACCAAAAGGGTCACGCTGCAGAGGTCCACAGTGTGGGTTGATCCTGCGACCTCACCCCAACTGACCTCTTATATCAAAGAACGGGTCTGTCTGTTCCGGCGGTGCGTCTGAGGGACACATCGGCGATCACCTCAATTACAACAGTGGGGCGTCCTCCACTGCTTCACAGGCAACTGATGAGCGTTTTTGTTAGTGCCGGTCTCACCAGTGCGTCCGGCACCCCATTGGAAAGTCAGTCTTGACTTGTGGGACCCAGTCTCCGAAGCCTCGAATCAGGCTGCGCACGCACACACACACTTCGGGATCTCCCTACACATGTAGGGGAAGGCAGAAATATCGTCAATGGTGGAGCTGCCAGCTGCTATGCTAAGCCCAAGCACACTCCCAGTTTTTATGAGCTGCCAGCTGCTCTGCCAAGCCCAAGCACGCTCGAATTTGCAGGTACGTTTTCAGCACCACGCTGTTAGGCTCTTCGTTGGCCGCCCCCTAACAGTGGGTGGAGCGGCCCGCTGCGTACATCTTAAATGAATTCAAAACGACTGATGTGATTTGCTCCGACCCTTGGTCCAACAGGGTTTTGTGCACACACACATACACAGAGACACACAGACACATACGCATACGAACACAAGCACAAACACGCACACTCGCAAGGAAACGCACACGGACACGCACGCATGCATGCAACGCGCACACGCACACGCACGCATGCACAACATTGCATGCCTGGCTTCTCAACAAGATGTACAGAGGACGATGTCGTCACGGAGGAGGAGGTTTTCGATTATTTCACGACAGACGAGTACAAGCCAGAGGCCAGATATAATTCATGTGAAGACATGCAATATATGACCTTGAGGCGCTTGAAGGGTTCAATCGTTAATTGTCATACTGGGTCATGCAGGTCTGCCAGAAATTGCGAGTTGCATCCGGGCTGGGCATGCGTCTGCATGTCATCCCTTAGGCTGTCATTGTTGGTCATCAAATGCCTCACGAAGAAGTGAAGCCGGAGACTTTCAGCAAGAGAGTGCATGGTGGAAGCGTGCCGTTTTGCTGTGACACATTGTGACACCAAGGCATGCTTATGTCCACTTTAGCAACAATGCGGACACCAAGAAAGCCAGGAAGGAGAAGGATGGCGGCGCCATTGGCAAGGCTGTTGGCAAAGCGGCTGATCTTGGCCTTGCAACTGCTTCGCGCCCAAAGCCCTAAAAGTCCGAAAGCAGGCCTCCGAAGTGAAACTGGTCTACACCGACGAGAAGAAGCTGAGATCTGAGCGTTTGTGGTGGCACTTCCAACTTCATGTGTCAGAGTTCATGAGATTCAGATCAGGTGGATCCGCCTGCGGGACGGTGTGAGCCTGGCGGGCGGGTTCTGGGGCCCACGTTCGCGGTACATGAAGGCCTGGTAGTTGCGGAGCGCAGCCGTGTTGATTGAATAGCAAAAGCAGATTTGCAAAGGCATTGTGCGGTGATGGTTCATGTTCCAGTGCCTAACTCTGTACTGAAGCAGGCGTACGGCACCGAAAAGTACAAGGGATGGAGAATAGACGTGGGGAGCTTAGCATGTTTCACTTCTGAGAAGGGTGAGGATTCTAGCTTGCAACATTTTCTTCTCTTCGCAAGGAGACGCCTCTACCTCCTGGCGCGCGAAGCCACTGGTACTACCCAGAAGATTGAGGTAGGTCTCCGATGCTTGCAGGCTGCTATTTGTGACAGTGGCATCTGCACACTAGGTCGTTTCCATTTCTCATGATCCGACTGAGCGCAGAGCCCTGGTACAGTGAGCCATTTCTTTGCGAGAACCCATTGAGCAGCAATCCCCAAGAACATCTGGGCGTTGGCGCCACAAGCTCTTGGATGTCTCGGACGGATCATCCATGTCACCAAAAAGAAGCATCGGCACCGTGCATGGAAGTTGCAATGCTGTGTTGTGCTTGTGTTGCTAGGTCAAGCACTCATGTTTCTGTGCTGCTTCAGCCTTGACGTCGGGGAGAGACCCACGCATTGGAGAATGCCTGTCAGTCTCACCTGCTCACCGCAGTAGCTGTAGCTGCTGTTCTCGTCTTGCAATGCAAAGAAAGGCATGTTTCGACAAGCTCAAACGTAGTTGACGAATCCATGATGCAATGGAGCTGGCACACACTGACCCTTCGGGCGCATCATAGAGGTTCTCCTTGCACGTTAGGCTTCTTGATTGGCAGAACTGAGCTGCCTCTGCACTTGACCTGAATTCAGGGACCGAGAAGACATCCGAGAGGTGAGTTTGCTTGAGGTGCTAGGGCTTCATTTTGATTGCTTCTGAATGCGGTGGAATCCGTTGCTACTTGAATCAATCTCTATTGGCAGCGACGGTGCAAGGTGACCATAGCCTGACCTCCATGGGGAGCTCCGCGTCGGTATGTGCCTGGGGCCCAAACCTGCTGCGCAAGCGCGAGAAGCCTTGTAAGCATTTGTGAGCAATTTAAGCCATTCTCTGGGACAGGCAGATCTCCTGGAACAGATGGGTTGGAAGGCCGCTGACATCTCTCGCATGTCACGAGCCACGAGCCTATGAGCTTTATTGGAAGGACCCCCCTCTTGCTGGAGACTTTCACCATCCAGGGCTCGTGTCATCCTGCCTCATTTCCTGATGCCACAACTCCAGCTCCTCAGTGTTCCTCACAGTTTTTCTCAGTGTACATATGATGTTGGTTTTGCGGGGAGACTTTCTGCGAAATTTACGCGTCGCCAGTCTGTTTGGCACGCGTAAAACCAATCAATCAAGCACATAATTTTCAGGGTGGCAAGAGTCCCAGAGTGATTTTTGTGATAGTTATGTTTGAGTTTTGTGTGGCACCTTGTTTTCACTGTTTCTCAAAGGGTGTTTCCTCACATGTGTGTGTTGTCTACGCCGGTGATAAACATGTAAACTGTGAGTGTTGATGTGCATCTTCGTAGTGTAATGCGTGTGTGCATGTTAGGACGAGTCGTAGAGGCAGCACAACTGCACGAAAGTGGTTGCCTGCAGCACTGAAACGTCACAGCGCAGGCCCTGGTGCGAGTTGTAGAAAACACCCACCTCTCCCACCCGGCGAAATCGCACTGTTCGGAAGGGTCCAGGGCACTCCACCGCGGGCAACAATCCATCACACTACCGCCAGTGGGACGAGGGAAAAAGGAGAGCCCGCTGTGCCTGTCGCATTGGGTTCGAGCGAGTACTTTCGTGTTGACGTGTGTGTGTGTGCGCGCGCCTAGCGAGACTTGTCTCGTTGTGTTGTATGTTGTAGCTTACATCCTGACTGAGGTAAGGTGCTATACAAAGACGCAACAGACTTGTTTGGGAACGTAGGCCAAATAAATTCAGTCAGGAAGATCTTGTCTTCTTAGTGAAGCACAGTAGGAATCCCACCAAATGCTGTAGGATCCTAATTGCTATGCCAGTTCCATGATTTTTCAAGAATGCTTGTCTTCTTGAGCTATTTTCTCGGATGTTTAACTGTCAACCAGGACTAGATTCCAAATTAACTGGCATAACCAGGTATTAAAAGGAGTAAGACGTCCAGAAACAAGGTTTCTTGTGCATACGTGTCTTGTACATTTTGTTGATGCAGAAGTCTACGCGGATCGTGGCAGCAAACGGAAACAGCTGGAAGCCGGGCCTACAACAGGAAGACCGCCCTTTCCAGGAGATGTTTTCTTCCGGCACAGCCGCTTGTTGAGCTTCCACGCACTTCTTGGCATCCGCAGCCCCCAGAGCAGCAAGATCTTCTCACAAGCTCAAAAATCACGCCTGGACAAACCAAGTTCGAGCAGCTACTGTCTCTGGGCACCATTGAACCGATTGACCCGAAGCCCAATACTCGAATACTGCTCCCGGTCACCATGCAGTTGTCACCCCGGAGAAAGTAAGCAACTGTTCCGGTTTTTGTGGCTTTGTGCACTCTGTTGAGTTTAGGTCTTGCATCAAGGTTTGGTTTGTTGTCATACAGGCACATGCAGCTACGGTTGCCAGGAATTACTTGCAGAATACCTACCTGGAGGTTGTCCGTCTCTGAGATTGCATGTACCTGACAGATCTTGTCCATCATGTAGCTACGAATTCCGAGGTTCTTCCCGTGCATGCTCCTCAAAACGATTTCGGATGTGAGCAAAAGACCAAACAGTTGGCAGCTCAGAGAGTCTGGTGGCCCATGTCTGAGACATTCCGGTTGTGAAAGGTATCCTCGGCCCAACTTCTGCTGGGAAGCATACAAGTGGGGAGCCCAGGTCCCAGAATCACAGGCTGGAGTTGAGTTGCATGATGTTGCATGTCAGCCGCGTGGCAGGATGCACCTTGCGATGATTGGCCCCAGCTCCACCTGCAAGAAGCAGTTCCTGGACTGTGATGAGTTTGTTGCTCTTGCGTGTAGATTCTCTGAGCCTCACCTGACTCTGGTGTCAAATCATTTTGAGTTCATTTTTGTTCTCGTTGCGGAGGACTTCATGCCCCGGATAGCGCACATCTTCAAAGGCACCTCCACCAAGCTGGCTCCTGGTCGAGAGGCATGGGTGGGCACATGCTTTATCGTGCTTTCAGAGGTCCTCCGAAGACTCATGTCTTTGTCTGTCTCATATGGAGGCAATTCCATACCACTTCCTTGACAGTGACTTGAACAGGCTCCAGCAGATCTGCACCAAAGCAGACCAGTGCTATGCAAGTGCTTTGTGTCATGAGGGTAGTACTGTGGGACCTGCCAGAGATCATGTTCAAGCAGAAGGCGGAGGACTTCCGTAATCTAAGCTCAGAAGGTGACATAAGGTGACATGTCTATGCAGATTCGAAACAGTGTCCGAACACGCTGAGGCGCCGTAGGCTTCGGTGTTTGCTCGTGCGAGCGAGGCTTAACTTCTTACTCATTGGAGGTACAGGATACTGCGTCAGGCGTTTGGTTCCAAGGGTCAGCAGGATTATGTCCGTGAGCTCGGTCTTCTCTACATCGACTGCGCCACTTTCCAAGGTTTCTGTGGTCGTACATGCGATGGTGCAGCGCATGTTCTTCCTTGGCAAACGACATCATCAGACTTAGGTCTTCATGTTGTTCTCTGAGAAGTACGTCCTCACAGACATTTACTGCAAGTGCGGCTCCAAGCTGCTCTGTGCCAGTTTTGATCTTCCAAGCGATTGGTGCGAGAGGCTTTGTGTCGCGCCATGAGCCCAGAATGTGCTGGTGCTGTCCTGTGCTAGCTGGAGCCAGTTCTGCAGCAGCGAGCGTGTGATTCTTGATGGACTTCTCCATGTCGAATGCAACGCAATCTGGATCATCAGGATGGCTTTGCACGGAATTCCCTTCTTCGTCTTGTGCACACAAAGCGAAGAGGGCATGGATGAAAAAGCGGTTCGAAGGCACGTGATTTGTTTTGAACGGCCGTTAGTTTGTCTGAGCCAGAAAGTGCTCAGAGCTGGTGTGCATCCTTGTGCACTCTTGTAACCGGTATAACGGTGTGACGGTGTTCTTTGGCTGTCTTTTCGACATGGCATCCCTTCCAGCAGGCTTCAAAGCTCTTTTCAAGCCCAGAGCGTCCAGGTCCGAATGTGAAGTGCTCAGTGAGAGTTGCGAGGGCTCTGTTGCCCGATTATGTATTTCAGTTTACGCCCCATGGGGGCAAGGACTTCTTTACATGGCGTTTGTAGATTCCAAAAGCTGGCTTGCGTGCAGGCTTTCTTAGGCTCCTGATGCTGCTGGGCTGAGTTCAGGGCTGCGTCTCCGCACCTTTTTGAACTTTGTGTTGCATCATGGTGCATCAAATGCCGGGCACGATTGCAACTGTGCTGAGTGTCATGTCTTTCTTGGTGTGCAACTTCCGTCCCCCTTCCCTTCACCCCCTCCCCTCCCCCGCCAGGGGGGAATCATGATTTTGAGCTTTTCGGGGTTTTTCGGGATTGCAAGGCTCCACACGCGGGGAATCACGTTTGTATGTTTTGTCGGGCTCCAACGGTGATTCCCCCATTGATGGTTCTCCCCCGCCCACCCCCCACCTCTCCCCCCCGTGTGCCGCGCTGCGACGAACGAACAACTGGAGGATCCCAGCGAATGAAGGTGATGTCTGCCTCGCATAAGGTTCAACCCTGCCAAGCCGCATGAAACTTTGGAGCCCCTGATCAACGATTTCTTCAAGGAGGCACTGACGTGTTCGGGCTTGAACAACAGCCTCAGGGTGGTGCAATGCGGTGCAGCAGGTGACCTGGAACAGAAGCAAAGGCGCCAACAGTGACAGAGTAAAGAACGCAAGTCGGACCCTCAAGCGTGCTTGGAACGTGGAAGGGTGGCGTTTGCATCAAATTGACGCCCAAGGTGAAACAGTACTTGGCCAAACGGTCAGAATCAAGAACTTGGAGAAGAAAGCAGAACTGAATGGCAGGTCGAATGTCTCATGTTGTCTCAAACGCTATGCGCAATGCCAGCATGCCACGCTGCCACCCTGCCTGGCTGAGGTGTGGCGTTTGTATCGGCTATGAGAAGGAGCAAGATCGATATATTGTGCGCCTGATCATGGCCGGCGTGGAGACGGATGTGGCGTTGAGGTTCACATATCGCTTGTATGGTACCGGTACATGGGGGCATGTACATCGTCGGTGGAAGTGTGCCTGGTTCAGGGATCAAAACTTCAGCGTGTTGAAGCCAAAGCTGCGTGGTTCCCTCGTGCAGCTGAAAGGGTCAAGGGCTTACGAGTCTTACATCGTCTTGCAGATTGGGTTCACATGTTCTGATATGTTCTTCTCTGTGAGGCTGCAATCGAAGCCTGAGTTGAACGGAGTTGGACTCAGAGACATACCTGAGCTGACGCCTATTGAAGCAAAGCCTTGTTGCATTTGCCTTTGCATCTTGAGGCCGCTATGGCTTTGTAGATGAATTCCTTCGGGAGAACGAACGGTACCGCGTTTTCTTGCCTGTTGCCTGGCATGTCTTAGCATCAAGCTTTCAAGCACAAGACGCGGTGGGGAGATGGAGCCGAGAAGTGCAGCTGCCATCAAATGCTTGGCCAGAAGTATCTCATCTGAGGATTCACCAGGGGTTGCCCTGAACATGGCACTGAAGTCGGATAATTTGGAAAAGGCACAGTGTGGTTGGGTGTTGAAGCATAGCTTAGCAGCTTGAGAGTGTCTTCGCGAAATGACTTGAGGTGACTTCAACACCCAGTGCCAAGCCAGCCAGCGGCTTTCCAGGGAGACAGAGCGAGAGAGAGGGAGAGAGAGAGAGAGAGAGAAAAAACAAAAAAAAAAATCAAGCATAGAGAGGAGCTGGTCACAATCTATCGGATCGTGAATCCGGGCTTGTATCGCGCGTGGGTAGGTGTGTTCCGAGGCCTCCCCATGCCCTGCAGAAGAAGAAGAAGACCAAAGAGGGCGAAGTAAAAGAGCAAGACGTTTTCGTTGGGTGTTCGATTCTCGCAAGGTGACGGCAGCTTCAAACGGCTCCTCGCCGCTGCCAGTGTCTGGCAAGACTGGGTATCCGCCACCAACTCGCAAGCCCGAGGCTGCGGGCTTGGAAGACGATGTTTCTGCGAGGGATCCAGAGCACATGTGATGGCATTTGTCCGCATTGACAAAGGTCTCTGCCGCGAATGGCAGCGCAGCCAACGGTGCCAGTCGTGCGAACGGTGCAGCCAAGCGCAACGGAGTTCCGAGCGGAGTTCCCAGCGGAGTTCCCAGCGGAGTTCAGAATCCTGCTCCGCCGCCAAGGCCATATGCACCCATGTTGCAATGTCGCAATGCCTCGCAATGCCATCCATCCTCGTCCTCTACTGACTAACGGATCATCCATGGCAAGTCTTCAATCAGGACGCAGGAGAAGATGCCAGCAAATGGCAGAGAGCCAGCACCAAAAGAGGTTCACACGATGTGCGTTGATGTGTTTCTGAATGACGTCTGGTGTGTCCTGTGTGTTGTGGCCGGCCAGTTGTTCTTGTACTGCCAGGACGATGACCTGTCCGCCTTCTTGCCAAAGGTGCAGAGCTCGCAAGCTGGCAAGGTTGTTTTCGCAAGCGCCAGCTTCAAAGTCCAACGACAAAGGTTGGAGCCGCAGAGGAGGAAGGCCGTTTCATGGTACGTGGGGTAGCCCCGGCCTGCAGATTAGACTGACAACCGCCGCTGTGCAAGAGGCGGGGACGACTTGATGTCACGAATCTTCGCAGCTGAGAGCGCATCGGATGAAACCGAGGCAGATTTGTGGCCTTGCCCAAAGACAGTTGAAGGCCAGTTGTAGCTTCAAAGAAATTGCGAGGCACCAAGAGCCGATCCACAGAAGCTGGACCAGCGACACAGAAAGCCTGACGTCGAGCCTGCAACACCTGCCGCTCCTGCCGCTCCTGCAGCTGTCCCGGTCAAGAGGTGGGGCTCTTGGTACCGCTTGGCGGTACTACCAGAGAACCAGTGGATACCAGTGGTATAGCCTTGCATGGTTCCCAGATATGCCCAAAATGCTTTGCTGAGGCTTCGACTGTCATTGCCAGGCCTGCTGGGGATGCGGGTGTGGGCCGCCATGTGCTTAAATCATTTCCACATTTTTCCACTAGATTGCCCAGAGTTTCAATTTACCGCTTTTTTCCAGCACTTGGCTAAGGTCATCGGCGATTCTCCAGATGCAGAAGACATCGTCGATCACCTGATGGACAGTGGTCACTTCTTCTTTTGGAAGCCCCTCTTGGCTTCTATTTTCGGCCATGTAAGCTTATACCGTACCTTAAGAGCAGAGTAACACACGTTTTGCCTACTAGTATGTCCGAGGTCAATATTATCATGCGCAAGTTGTAGCTTGGCAGGACTGTGGCAAAACAGTCTTCAACGTTGGAGGAGAAGGTGCACACTTTGCTTCAACGGCTGCGCCGTCAGTTTGGTTCAGTTGTCGCACCTGTCTTGGCTGGCATGGGCTTAGAGGCTTACACTGCTTCGTCCCATGTCAGGGTTTATCCGAGTTGCATGCCAACGCCTTACAGCATAAGGCGGAACTCAACATGGACCCCAACCTTCCCAAAACAGAGGTGCAAGTCTGCCAGAGCAGCGAAGCAAGTGTACTTCCTTTTCTGACTAGCCGGTAGGGTTAGGGCAAGGGAGACTGCCTGAAGGTGTTAGCGTTCATCGACCCCAAGGCCAAGTGGTTTGCACGCTTCGTGCCAACGCTCTTCCAACATCCTTCGTCGTGAACGCTTGAGGACTCAAGCGCTGTCCTTGCCGCTCTGAACGACGTTGTGAGGCCTTGTTCCCTGTGGAACCTGAAGCGGTGTCGAGTGCTCCAGACTGTTTACCTGAATTCCACAGGTTGGGCGTTCGTGGTTTAGCTTTACATCCAAGCGAAGCTTGGCCTTCACGAGCGGTTTCGGCTGCTGTACGGAGGTGGTGCATGTTGTTAGCCTGGCAGAGAGCGAAAAGGTGCCAAGTAAGCTCCTTGCTGGGCTTAGGAAGCATCATTTGACGCAGAAGTCTTGGCCGAATGCAGAAGCGCAGGCCGACGTGGATGATCAGTCACCATGTCTCGAAGATGTGCTTCTGCTCTCTCCAGGCATTGCGACTTATGGTATAGACGTGCTGGAAGACGTGCAGCCTGGTCTGCTTCTTTGTAAGTGAACCTGCAGATTGGAATTTGCTGCCAGTGTCGCAGCATCCGAGGAGCAGGTCTACCAGTGGCGCCTTTAGACTGACCTGCGCTGGACGTTTGTACAGCCAGCTCGCTGGGTGCTAGTAAACCGCGTTGAAAAAGGTGCCGTGGCCTGTGGCATCTGCACCCGCATAAGTTTCAGCTCCAAGCAGTTTGGAGAGCTTGATGCTGTCCTCATGCTGTTCATTTGTTCACTGCTGCGTGAGCTGAGAGGCGCTGTGTGCGCTGTGTGGGTCTCTTTGGTTGCCCTCCGTCTGGCTGCTGGCCATGGGTAGCGCCGCCGATGTTGCGCAGGTTTTGAAGGTCTACTGGGCGCTGCTGCTAGGAAACATTTTGGAGTGGTATGAGTTTGCCATCTACAGCTTCTTGGAGCCATACCTAGAAACCCAGTTCTTCCACGGTTCGGCTATTTCAACTTGGCTGGGATTCGCATGCACCTTTGCGGCTCGACCATTTGGCGGCATTGTTCTTGGTCTTCTTGGAGATCTCTTTGGTCGGAAAGTATCGACATTCCTTTCCATTTGTGGAATGGTTATTGGCACTGTTGGCCAAGGACTGCAACAGGGGGTAAAAAAAGTGAGTTGCAAGAAGTCCCTTCCAAAGTGGAGGCTTGTTGAATGTATGTTGTGCAAGTGATGCAATCTGTTTGCGAAATTGGAAGACATCTCCCGTGAATGCTTGGGCCATGGCCGTTTTCGGGCCGTGCTGTGACGGGCTCTGCTGGACCGGCGACAGCTATTGCCCTGCGAAACCCGAAAATTATGTTAAAATCCAATCCTTCCTCATCCATGCATCGAGCTATTTCAAACGGCAATCACCTACTGTGTCCTTCAAAATAGGCCAAGGGACAACAACGACATAGCTATTCGTTGTTTACATTGCTCCTCCCCTCAGCTCAATCTTACCAGGCAAAGGCAGCAATGTCACCACCTGAACCTTCAAGGAGGAGCACATTCTTTTACAAACTCTCCCCCTCCCATCAGGCGTTCCATGGCGTTCCCTTAGCCTTAACGACCCTGCCTGTGCCATATGTTTTCGTCGTTCATGGTGGGACCAGTCGCATCCGTTCCCCTTTCCTGACACCCAAACTCCTGAGCTAAGAGCCGGACTGGCCCTTCATTTGCATTGCTGTGCAGAGTGTATAGACCTCCTTGGATGGTGCTCGGTGAAGGACTTGTGCCCAGCTACCAAAGTGGCGAAGTCGCGGGGACCATCGGACTTGTTTTGCTGGTGGCGCTGCGTCTCCTGCAAGGCATCTGCACAGGAGGAGAGATCGCAGCAGTCTCCACCTACATCACTGAAGTTGGGCCGAAGAGATCGCTGGCACGGTCGATGGCTTTGATAGGAATCACGGCCAACGTCGGCTTCCTTCTGGCTCAATGTGCTAGCTTCCTGACACGTGAGGCTGTAGGCTTGGCTGCTATGGAGAGCTGGGCGTGGCGAATTCCTTTCATCATTGCTTTGATCCCGGGTGTAATTGTTACCCAGACTGCATTTTGGGGCACCAGTGAGTTGTCTCATCAAGTTTGATGTGTTTTCAGAGCCCTTTCGTACTATCACTTCGGTCCCATGTGTGGTGTCATGGTGTGTCAGGCCACTGCCGGAAGGCGTTGCATTCCGGAGTCGCAGGTTTTCTTGGATGCGAAGGCTGCTGCGGACACGACATCGGACGTGTCCGACGTCGGGTCTGAGTCTGTCGATGCCAATTCGGGTGATGCAGGCTCACAAGGCCAGACCTCACATTGAGCCATGACCATTTTGGTTTTGAGATCCCCTCATGAGCCCACGAGCCTTCACGAGCCTCTGTTGCACAGGTGCAGCAAGGCAGGCGGTGGCTCGCATCAAGCACCTCGTGGCATCTCAGTGGCCGGCGCTGCTGATTGGAATCGGCAGTGTGGCAGGAGTATCTGTCTTGCAATATGGTGGTTTCCTTTGGGGCAATGTGTTTCTGAAGAAGCATGGCGCATCACCCGACCACTTAATAGCAGCCGGAGTTACAGCGCGCATGTTATCAGTAGTTCTTGCACCCCTGGTGGCGTGGCTTGCTGATACAGTGGGAATCGGTTGGATTCAACTTATTGGTGCATCTGCGCTGACCCTCGCCGGCCTGCCACTATTTCTTGTGCAAAAATGGATGCCCGACAGCATTGGGGTAGTATTGGCGGCCTATGGAGTTGGCTATGGAACCATCTTTGCCCTGGTCGGAATGATTTTCTTCTTACTCGTGGTGGAGCTGTTTCCAGTGGAAGTACGGAATGCTGGCGTGGGCTTAAGTGCTTCAGCATGCATGTATTTGAACAACCAAGTCTTGGCAAAGGCCATGTCAACAAGGTGAACTGATTTCACGTCACTATGGTGTGCCACTGCAGCCAAGGTTACAACATTGGCTTCTGTTTTTTTGGAGGCGGCAGTGATCGATGCAGATGTGCACGGAACATCATGTCAGCAAGAACATGAGCCGCAATAGCATCTCCAATGCAATACCACTGCTGGAGGCTTTGCGCCCACTGTTTTCCAGGCAGGGGGACATGCAGTGCAAGACTTTGGGGCTCTGACTTGCCACTGTGTGCTGGAGGCATCCCTTTCTTGGACTTCCTGGGGACCCGGATGTGTGTGCATGCAAACAGTTTTACAGCCAGTGCGATGGGCGGGTATGTGGAAGATGCTAAGATATGGCCCTGTTGGGGTTACGCTTGCAAGGCGGCCTTTATTAAAATATTCAGGTTCTTTGCCCTTCTTTAGGAGCGGCAGCACTCAGAAGGTGTAAGTGCCCGCACGACATGAAACCTGCGTGACTCCTGCTTTGGAGTAACGACTAGAAGAACCTACGCCCTATTCGTGAGAAGTCCACATGCTTATTGTGAATGCTGGTGGGAAGGAGTATGCCAGTTGAATGTTGCCCACATCTTGTCCATGTTATGTATAGGTGGCTTTTGTGTTGAGGCGGCCCCATACCCCATGCCTTCCACGATCTTGGATGATTAGTTGTTGATAATTCATGTGGGAATTCGCGAGCACGTGCACTGGCTTGCTTGGACAGGACCTGGCTGGTTGATGTCCTTCGCAGGTCTTGTATCGCTGGTGACATTCGTCATCAGCATATGGCTGCAATCTGCTGGCAAGGCGCAGCTGCAACTGGCGCACATCAGGCGCGGGACAGGAACGCCATGGAACGCCATGTTGTGAGTTTGCTGTTTCGGGACCCAATCTGGATTTCTTCGGAGGCCGGAGCCATACTTTGCCCTACCTGGTCGGACGACGGACTCGAATCAGATGCATAGTGACACCGCAAAAGTTTGAATGCGGCCTGAGCCAGAGACCAGTGATTAATTCGAAGTTCTGAGCATCGTGGCAGAGTCGTCCACAAGGGAACAAGTCGAGTGTCGATGCCCATGTACAGTGCAAGGAAACGACCATCACCAGGTAATCCTTGTGTTGCTGCTGAACGTACGGTATCTTTTGGGGAGATTTGCGTCTCGTGCCATGTCAACTCGAGCCAGAGTGCTTGCATAAAGACGTGGCCTATGTGAAGTTTGCTCACCGGTTAGAATCTCCTTTTGGAGAGGTACCGATGGCTTGCAGAAACGACTGCCAATGTCTCCCGTGCCCATTGCTTGCATGTGATGGTGATGCAGGGCGTTGTTTGTGAATGTCTATCATATGCGCCCGAATGTACCCAAGACTGTGTTTCATAGTGCATGTATTTGCTGATGGTTGATCACACTGACTGCATCTACAACTCCACCACGAAAAGCTCCAATTTCAGAATGCGTTGCAAAGGCTTTCAATGCGATCCCTAGCTGATTATGACACTTGGGTTGCGCCCTCCTCAGCAACTAACGGCCTCATGAGATTCGTCCTTCCGCGGCATGGCGCCAACCACCTCAGAAGGCATGAACCGGCATGGCCCTGTTATGTGAGCTGGGTGAGGAGATGACACTCTAGGTACTTGGACCCTTTTTTGAAGGCCCAGGGGAGTATGCAGACGAGTTGAGTGAACATCAGTCCATCCTCTTCACGGAGGCCGCATGCTCGGGGCCGCACATCAAGACACAACACAACACACTGTTCAACACACTGTAGCTCTAATGGAGTTCAGGTTTCTGCAGTTCTGTTGCGTGGAGTGCTGTCTGGAGACAGAGCCCAACGATTCCAATGATGCGCTGATGCGGATCTGCTCGATGCAGTATAAAATAATGAATCTTGGGGCCTTTGGTAGAATTATAAGGACTTAATGCGCGAATTAATGCGCGAATACGAAGAGCGACCCAAAACCCCATTCATTTATTGTATTTGTAGGGGGGTTTGGATGCTGAAAAAGTCTTTTTAAAATGACTAAATTACAAGGGTTTGTCATGCTCTCTTAACCTCAAAATTTGAAACAGTTTCTCTGTTTTCACTTCGCTCCAACACGTGCAAACGTACATACTTCATTTGCCTTTCTTATTAAGCGACGCGAGAAACATGCTTTAAAATGATGGGGTTTCTTGGTACCACATGAACTGTGACTTGGTACAACCGCCTGTCTAACCTTCCGGAATCTCCCGGTCATACCTTGAGAGCCTGAGACTATTCACCAAATTCCTGTAAGCTAGAAAGACCCCCTCATTCCTCGTTCCTTCGCAATCATCGGGCGGTCGCTGCACGCATGAGTCTTGTTGTGCGGCCCCTTGGTACGGTGTGTGTGTGTGTCTTTGAAGTAAGCTAAGTTTACTTTCGTTATGTGACACCGCAGCCGCCCCTCCGCAATCGCGCGGAAAGAGTCCTGAGGACTGTAGCAGGAGCGAGTCACAACAGCACCTCAGCGTGTCTGCAAACTCAGATGCCTCGCTCTGCGGGCACAGTGTGTGGGATTCCGATCAGTTTTCACAAGCTCCTCCAACCTTCAAACCGCCAGCACCTTCTGATATGAGTTTGAGCACCGAGCGCTTTGGAGGTCTTCTCTGGCTTTGTTGGAGAGACCGCAGCACCGCCGCGGACAGCACCGCAGACAGCACCGCCGACAGCACCGGCACGGAAGGACGCCAAACCTTCCAAGGAGGATTCGAAAGACTCAGGCTGGGAGCATCGGAGCCCTTACAGCCCTTTGTTCTTTCTTTGCGCTTGCACTTCTGCAGAATGATGCCAGCACAAACACGATGGAGCTGAGATTGAATCAGCAGGTGCCCAAAGCAAATCTGGCAAGGATGCCAATGAAGACGGGAAGGCTGGCAGGAACATCATTGGCCGCAATGGGTCACATAGCGCATACATGTTGTGGAGCACAAAATAACACGAAGCCTGCCAAAGGACTTGGAGTTGTCACAGCATCGATGTTGGTTTCATTGCAGGTTTGTGAGTGGTCGCCGCTGCTGAATGTGCAGAGGAAATTCTGCTCTGCTCTGAGATTGACATGTGCTCACAATGTTCTCCTTATGTGCTTTTCCTTAAACTGGAGTTCCAACATGGGGGAAGAGAGGGGCCAGCTATGGCCAGCTCGATGTGGCCGCGCCCCGGACCATGCATTTTGGACGAAAGTCGTGCTCTCGCCAATGCGCGGGCGTGGCCGTACTCGCGGTCCTTCGATTTTGGACGTTTGGGATCACGAAATGCGAAGCTGTCGTCGCTTTTCGATGTGTGGGGGCATGGCTTCTCACTGTTTGGGGTCTCTGCTGGCATAATTTCTGCTTGCTTTTGGGTTATTGGCCCGCACAATGCAGCCAGTGAGTGAGTGAGAGCCGGGCCGTGCGAACAAGGAAAAAGTCGGTCCATACAGCCAGCAACACCGAAAGAGCCCTGTGCAGACAGCAAAACAATAGAGGTGCTGCAGGCAAACGCAGTGCTCGCGCAGACAGCAACATCACGCGGCCTGCGAGTGAGTAATGGGGAGCAAACATGTTGTAATCAGGCAGCGACAAACAAGTGCGAGCACAGGCAGCAACAAACAGTCACCCCAGCAGCAAACGCTTCTGAGAGGCAAAGAATTGGGTTATGCTGCAAACGCCAGTCTGGAGGACTTAGTTGTAAGAAAAGATAGGCCTGGTCTTTGCACAAAGGCAAGCATCAGCAGCGACAGTGCGCCCATAAGTGCTTGTTCTGAGTGAAGGATGAGGGCTATTTAGAGGTTGCCAGCAGCAAGTGTATACCTCATCTGGACATGGCGAGGTACTTTGCCGTGTTCTTGGACTTGGCTGAATGATGGCACCTCTCAGCATGCAAACGAAACGCCTTTCCCCAAAAACACTTGAGGTCCAGGTTGCGCCCGATCTTCTGAAAGGAGAACCTTTCGGCAGATTGCGGAGGAATCGGCAACCGGCCTTCAGCTTTGGTGCGTGTTCTTTGAAAGAGGAGTGTTTGCAGGAGTTGCAGTGTGCAGGAAGGGATACGGCGCCATGATGCGAAATCCCCCGCTGTCCCTGCCATCTGCTGTGTCGGGGAGCACGAGATTTGCTGTGTTGTGAATCTTCCCTTTTGCCATGAGACCCCTTTGGACGAAAGGTCAACCCAGTTTGGTTTTCCAGATACCTGGCTGACATCGAGATCGTCTTGCAATGATGTTGCGCGGAGGAGGTGCTGGCCCCCCAACAATGTGCTCTGTTGTATGCAAACAAACACCCGGAGTTTACAGAAAGCACCAGGAGTTTGCTGACATCAGGAATCTCGCTCCGACTGTGGAGCGCTTTCCGGCCTTGAGAAGCACGGGCGTTCGCCGGAATCTGACAAGACAGAAAGCATGTGGAAAGCATGTGGAACATTGTGGGACGGGAGATTTCAATGCTCAGGACCACCACTTTGCGACTTGGATGAGATAGATGTGTGCGCCTAAGTGAAGCAACTACTATGTGCAGTATGCTCATTGACAAGTCTGGACATCGTCTAATGCAGAAACAGCTGCCGGTTCCAGTTGAGCGAGGCGAAAGATGAGGCAGCGGCTTGGGGGTCGTCCACTCCCAAGGTGCTTCGGCAACAGTTCTTCCCCCCCGCTACATTCTTGGTGGGCGGAGCAGGCAAACATTGCATCATATATTTATCATTGCATCGACAGGCAACGGATCGGCGTGAAGTTAGAGAGCCATCTTTCAAGATCGATCGGCCATGGCTGTCTGGGGTCATCACCTCAGCCCACGCCAATGTCTTCAAGGCACGATACCGTTCAGCGCAGTGTGGCCTTGTGGCAGGCCCGTCGACCCCGTCTCTTGGAGTGTTCGCCTTGGTTGAAAAGGGTGGAATCAGTGGAATCTCTTTTACAATTGCACTTGAAACTCAGAGTTTACCAGATCAGGCGGGCAGCTGGAGGCTTATGTGCAATGTGCTTAGCAGTGGATGCGGCTCCATGCCGTTTGTGCAATGATGCATCTTTTGCGGATCTCTCAGGAGGCAGCTGATGATGCATACCTTTATACAGCAGCGCCAAAGAACCGAGCCCAGAGCTTGGCTGACGCATCCGTGTGTTTATTTGCTTGGCCTTGTTCAGTCCCTTTGAGTAAAGCACTCTGTCAGCGGTCGCATATCTACTCAGCCGCTCAGGGACTGACGATGAGCACCATGTCCGTGTCCATCAAGAGCGGCTGTCTCTGCGTGGCGAGTTTTGCCGTGTTGGAGCAATGGAAGATACTGCATTTCAGTGAGGCCCATCAGAGGCGGCCAGCCGTACTCCTACAGTCAGCTTGCCAGCGGCTGAGCAGACTTCTTCATCACCTCACCCGTGCCATCTAAACTGGAAGCCATGACTGCTGGTTCTTGAGGCGCCTCGACGAAAAGGAGCCAAAGAAGTCGATCAAAACAAAGTCTGCGCCCTTCTGCCTGTGCAAGATACACATTAAGCCGCAGAGTAAGCTGCAGCACGCTCTCCTCTGTGATCTGTCCGAGGATCAAAGAAGCCATGCTGAACAGAATGCGCTGCTGCCTGTGTTGCTGTTCAACACCGCGCTGTTCCAGTCCTTTAAATCAAGGATGTGTTCTTGACATCTTTGACATCCTGCAGCCATGCTGCGCTGTGCTGCACGGTGCTGTACTAAAGACACATGCCAGGAGCGAGCAGATGGACGTCGTTCAGGATGCGTTCCCTGGACTGGTTTGTTGAGGGTTGGTGGTTTTTTTGCATATGAAGCTGCAACCACGAGCATTCGGTCCTAGGGCAAGCCAAGCCAAAGATGCTCGGCGTCAGAGGACTGATATGGCACGGGGTGCTGGTAATATTCACGGTTTTTGACCAACGGTTCTTGACCGGTGGTGGCTTCGGGAAGGATTACACAAAACTTGTCACAAGACTGTTCCATACTGGTGCTCGACTGCAGGACGGATGAGGAACGCGAAGTAGGCGCTTGTTAGGACGCGTGAGCGTGCCAGCATGAGCAAAAAGTTTCTTCGTCGCAGGTTTCAATCTCCAAGCAAGAGCCTCGGAGCTTCGGAGCTTCGGATCGATGTTTCGTCTCGCAGCCGGGTGAGATCGATTTTTTTTCAGGAAGCTCGGCATTTTGATGGCGACGAGGTTTCGAGCCGATTTTGACAAATCAGCCTCATCATTTGATCTTTGATGCTGGCCTGGCATTGCGAATGACCTGGCCCAGCTTGACCAAGGTCATGCACGGAAGTAGGAATTGCAAGTGCCAGGTAGCCTCGAAAAGCTCGGGTTTGTGGAGACTTCACCACAAGGAGCCTGGCAATAAAGTGGGAATAACCCCTGCAGATTGGACCATCGAGAGAGCACATCTGGAAGCAAGAAGTAAGAAGTTGCCTCTTCTCGAACTGTCACCTGCCTGCAGGAGTCCAAGCGCTCCCGCCTTTCACGTGCAACTTGCCTGAAGACGTCTTGTCGATTTCTGTACTCCCCGCACAGAAACTCGAGAAGAACAAGTCTCGGAGGAAAACTCTTGTTGGGGACTTCCAACAGGCTGGTGTGTGGGGGGATGTGTCGGCCGCCTCGGCCTCATCTCGCAACCTCGTCTGCTTCTCTTTGGCCGTCTCATGCCTTGCCTTGGACTTTTCCGCCGAGAATTTGCAAGCTTTCACCTTTCCTGCTTGCGCTTCTACACAATGCTTCAAGAAGTCTCGACTCTATCGCTCGCAGCTGCCATCATCCACCCCAGCCTCGCCAGGTCATCCTAAAAGGCCAAGATTCAGCTTCAGAGTGTCAGCAAACAAAGCTGAAAGCTAGAGCCATCTAGAGCCAGTCGTATGTGATGACAGTGATGACGCACAAGCATTTCAAAGCTTATTGCTGCATCCAATTTGTCATTGAGTGAAGTTCTCCAAAACAGTGGCTAATCGATGCTGATCCAAGATCACGACGTGCCGGAGGCCAGCTTAGCTACTTTTGCAACCATGAGTGGGCTGTCGGGTGTCTAGCTTTCTGAACGCTGCAGTTTCTGTGTGGCGATCAGTGGCTCAAGCTGCGAAGAGTTGTGAAGCGCCATGCCGTTGGGATTGTTCACCATCTTCGACTGCAGGATCGTGTTTTTGATGCTCGCTGATGTAGGGCTCTGTTAAGGCTCAGGGCAAGCATGTCTCTGCAGAGATGCAAGGACCGATGGTCTGCCTTTCGCAGCTCGTCTCTTACATGAGGCGCGGATGAACTTGGCGCCAATGCAGCTTCTCTGATGTTCACCTCGACTCCTTAATTCTTTCTTCCTAAGCTCTTTTTGCGCCGAGCAGTTAGGCGATACATCACTGGGCCCATTCAGCAAGAGAGCTAGCAACGCAGATGTCTTGGTTGGAACAAAGAATTGAGTGCAATGATCTTTGCTTTCATGTTGGCACAGGGCCAAACTCAATGTTTGCCCAGGTTCGGTGCCGGAAAGAGCATCCAGCTTGGTCTTAGTTTCGTGCGGCGAGGAGGCACAAATCTTGGATCATCAAACCTTGAGCATTTCTACAAAGTCGGCTTGAGTACAAAATAAGGTGTGGAGGCGACGATTCCTTGGGGCACCTATGCTCGTGACATTGCCCGAATCCAAGCTTGTGAAGGCAAGAGCCAGAGACAAGCACATGGCCACAGATGTTGTAGATGTATGTTTATGTTGATGATGTTGATGTATATGTGTATGTATACGCATATGTCTCTGTAAGTGTATTTATTTGTATATGCATACTGTGTAGAAATACGTATACATGTATATATACATATATACATATGTGGTACCCCCCCTCCCCAGTTATCCAAACTTCAGAGCTTCTTTACTTCAAAGCTTCAGTCTTGTTATATTCTGATACTATATAGTCTAGTTACTGGTGTTTCTTAGCGTGACGATCTTGTCTAGTTACTGGTGTTTCGAGAGTGCATAGTGTACTTAAATTTCAAGGCCTCAATGGTCAAGCACGATGAGGGACAAGGAGTATTGAAGTTCAAAACTCCGGATTGAAGTTCAAAACTCACGGGTCTAGTATTCAACATGGTCGTCATATCCCGAGGGTGACGTGTAAGAATTGGTTTTTTTGGTGTGGTTTGCTTATAAGCAGTTGGGTTGCTTATAAGCAGGGGGTGGGGGGAGGGGGGAGGGGGGGGGGGGGGGGGGGGGGGGGGTTCTTCCAACTTAGCCCCAGGACCTCTGCTATTCCCCCCCCCCCCACACTTTGCTCCCCTCCGCTCCGCTCCCCTCCGCTCCCCTCCGCTCCCTGATTTCTTTAAGGGCTTTTCAGGGCTTATTTCTAAAATTTCCATCGGTTAAGGGCGCAGGATTTCTAAAGAGGAGCCACGAAACCCTATAGGGTTTCAGGTGTTAATCCCTAAGCCTTAAAGCCTAAAGGGTTTAGGGTTAAACCTTCAACCCTCAACCTTTCAACCCAACCCTGTATTGTTTCAAGGTGAAGTAATTAAACCTCAACCCTTTATGTTTAAACCCTATAGGGTTCAGGTTTAAAGGTTTAGGGTTTAAGGTTTAGGCATTTAAACCTAAGCCGGCATTTAAGCCTAAACCCTTAACCTATAGGGTTAAGGTTTAAAGATTCAGGGTTGAAGAACTGGGCAGTTAAAACCTAAGCCACAGAGTTTAAGCCGCAAGGGTTTAAGGTTTGGGCATTCAAACCTAGCCACAAGGGTTTAAGGTTTGGGCATTCAAGCCTTAGCCCATGGAGTTTTTCCTCAAGGGTTTAAGTTTTAAACCCTACAGGGGTTAAAGGTCTAGGGTTTAAGGCTTAGGGCATTGCAAAAACGTAACCCTAAGCCCTCAGGGATTTAACCCCTTTTTCTGTTCTCCTTAAGCCTTAAGCCTTATAGGCTTTAGGGTTATGACGCTAAACCCTATAGGATTAGGACCTTGTAACCCTATAATAGAGGGCTTGTGGCTTACATCCTACACCTTCAGTCCCATAGGCTTCCGCCTATGTTTGTAGGGCTTGCCTCCTGTGGCAATGCAACGGAAAAGCAGAATGAGTATCCACTTCATGTATGTATGTAAGGTATATGTGCTGCATATCAAATACAGATGATGGAGAAGCCTCGAACCACAAGACTTGGAAGTATTCGAGAGCATGGGGTGATGCGGAAAAGTCATGTACTGTAGCCCCGGGGACGCGAGAATACTGTGAGCAAATGTTTTTTACTATTTCCTCGGACCGTTCGACAGGCTGCTAGCAGTTTCTCGCAAGTATTTGGCTTTTCATTCTCAATGCTTCCCACATGGTTATCATTTCGCAAAGATAATGCTCATTGCAAGTATCCGCAAACCATAGGGGCCGGTGCAAGCTTCACTCTCGAAAACCCGAAAACTGTGGATAACAGGCGGGGGGGGGGGAGTAGCTATATATATATATATATATATATATGGTCACCCCCCCCAATGGACCCACCGCGGGCCTTGATCTTTGCAAAAGTACCGCAAATACCGATAAAACCTATGCTGTCTGGTGATTTTCCGGTGACCGAATTTTTGACTGTATTCCTTAATTCACTCTCTCACACACACGGATGGTTTTTCTTTCTGTTGGCTTTTGTTTATAATTTAAGACTTAGGCATTTAAACCTAAGCCTGCAAAAACACCCTTAACCTTTAAACCCTGTAGGGTTGAGGTTTCAAGGTTAAGGGTTTAAGATTTAGGCATTTGAACCTATGCCGGCAATTAAACCCTAAGCCCTTAACCTTTGAATTCTATAGGGTTAAGATGTTTACAGGTTTAGGTTTAAGATGTAGGCATTTAAACCTAAGTCTGCAACTAATTTTAAACCCTTAACCTTTAAACCCTGTAGGGCTAAGGTTTAAAGGCTTAGGGTTTAAGATTTAGCCATTTAAACCTGTAGCCAAGCCCTTAACCTTTAAACCCTGTAGGGTTAAGATTTTAAAGGTTTAGGATTTAAGATTTAAGCATGTAAATCTCAGACTTCAATTAATTTTAAACCCTTAACCTTTAAACCCTGTTGGGCTAAGGTTTAAAAGTTTCGGGCTTAAGATTTAGGCATTTAAACCGATTCCGGCAATTATCGCTAAGCCTTTAACCTTAAAACCCTATAGGGTTAAGATATTTAACGGTTTAGGGTTTAAGTTTAAGGTTTAGGTATTTAGACCTGTGCCGGCAGTTCATATTGAACCCTTAACCTTAAACCCTAGGGATAAGATTTAAAGGTTTAGGATTCTTTACTTAGACATTTAAATCTAAGCTTGCAATTAAACCGAAACCCTTAACCTTTAAAACCCTATAGGGTGAAGGTTTAAAGTTTTAGGGTTTAAGATTCAGACATTTAAACCTAAGACGGCAATTAACAATAAACCCTGAACTTTTAAACCCTATAGGGTTAAGGTTTAAAGGTTTGGGGTTTAAGATTTTGGCATTTAAACCTAAGTATGTAATTTGTCACCCTTAACACCCTGTTTAAGTTTTAGACATTTAAACCTCTATTCCTTAACCCTAAACCCTCTAGGGTCAGGACCCTAAAGCCCTCGGCAATCAAGCCTAAACCCTTGACCTTCAAACCCCATAGGATGAAGGTTTGAAGGTTTGGGGTGTAAGGCGAAGGCATTTAAACCTAGAGGGCATTTAAGCCTTAACCCTAAACCCTTCAGGGCCAGAACCTTAGCACCCTATATGGATCTAGCACCTGCAGGTATACATCGGTTTTTAAACCATTACACCCTGTAAGAAGGTTTAGGGTCTTTTCGGGGTCTATCTCTAAATTTCTCACGGGGTTAACCCTGCAGGGTTTAAAGTTGAAGGTTTAGGATTAAAGGTTTAGGCAATACCTAAAGGATTAGAAGTCTTCTCCTGGTAAAACCATCTTTTCTCGAGAAAAGATGGTTTTTCGAAGGATGGTTGCTCAAAACCATCTTTTTCTCGAGAAAAAGATGGTTTCCAACCAAAAAACAATCTTTTTCTCGAGAAAACCAAAAAAACCAAAAAAAAAAAAAAAAAACCATCTTTTCCAAAACTATGGGGCTGGGGCCTCCAAAAGATGGTTTTTTTGTTTTTCTCGAGAAAAAGATGGTTTTTTTGGTTCGAGACCATCTTTTTCTCGAGAAAAAGATGATTTTTGGAGGTCTTCTCCTGGTAAAACCATCCTTTTTCTGGAGAAAAAGATGGTTTTTCGAAGGATGGTTGCTCAAAACCATCTTTTTCTCGAGAAAAAGATGGTTTCGAACCAAAAAACCATCTTTTTCTCGAGAAAACAAAAAAAAACAAAAAGACAAAAAAAACCATCTTTTCCAAAACTATGGGGCTGGGGCCTCCAAAAGAGTTTTTTTTTTTTTTTTTTGGTTTTTTTGGTTTTTTTGTTTTTTTTTGGTTTTCTCGAGAAAAAGATGGTTTTTTTGGTTCGAAACCATTTTTTTCTCGAGAAAAAGATGGTTTTACCAGGAGAAGACCTCCAAAAACCATCTTTTTCTCGAGTAAAAGATGGTTTCGAACCAAAAGACCATCTTTTTCTCGAGAAAACCAAAAAATCCAAAAAGAACCAAAAAAACCGTCTTTTCCAAAACTATGGGGCTGGGGCCTCCAAAAGATGGTTTTTTTGGTTTTTTTGGTTTTCTCGAGAAACAGATGGTTTTTTGGTTCGAAACCATCTTTTTCTCGAGAAAAGATGGTTTTACCAGGAGAAGACCTCCAAAAACCATCTTTATCTCGAAGAAAAGATGGTTTTACCAGGAGAAGACCTCCAAAAACCATCTGTTTCTCGAGAAAAAGATGGTTTTACCAGGAGAAGACCTCCAAAAACCATCTTTTACTGGAGAACAAGATGGTTTCGAACCAAAAAAACCATCTTTTTCTCGAGAAAACCAAAAAAACCATCTTTTGGAGGCCCCAGCCCCATAGTTTTGGAAAAGATGTTTTTTTGGTTTTTTTTTTTTTTGTTTTTTTTTTGTTTTTTTTGGTTTTTTGGTTTTTTGTTTTTTGTTAGTTTCTTGTTTTGTTGTTGTTCCCTTGATCTGGCTAGGACTCGGATGCCACCCGCGGTGGGTCCATTGGGGGGGGGGGGGTGAGCATATATATATATATATGTGTGTGTAAGTACACATGCGTGTGTATATGTATATGAATACATCTGTATATATCCAAAAATGTATATACATGCATAAATGCAAAAGTCAGAAATGGATAAATGCACATGAATACGCAACAAGTGGATAAATAAATGTCGCCGGCAAAGCATGCGGTCCCGCACCCCCCCCCCCCCCCCCCCCCCCCCCGCCCCACCCCCCGCCCCTCTGGGTGTTTCCTCCGCTTGTCAATCTGTTCGGGTTTTGTTTTTTGTTTTGCGGCCTTTAGCGAGGCTTCGTCTGATTCCTTATCTGGGGCCAACGGATCCAAAGGGAAGTTTCGGTTCGGTCGGGCTCTAAAGAACTGGTTCTATTAGCGATTGGGCTCGCAGTTCGTTCCGTTTCGCAAGTCGTGCTCATCGACGAGTACAGCTCCGATGGCACGGTCGCGACAGAAACCTCCGAAACAAGCGTACTCCCCCGCAGCCCCGCAGCAGGGGTGGGGCAGGGGGGAGTCAGTGAAACCACAGTCGATGCAGCGCTGGATAAGCTGAATGGGGTATCTGGGAGGTCGATGGTGTCGAGGTGCTGGGGTGGTGACGGGGCGATTGGAGGACCGCCTGTCCTGTACCGGGAAAATATCGTTGAGGCCCGCTTGTCGAAGTCCTGGTGGCGTAGTTCTGTGGGCGCAGATGGTGCCCACGGTGGCTGTGCCGAAGGCACTCCCCGAGTTTCGGCATCGGTGTCAGCGCCGCCAGGGTTGCCCCCCGCTGCCAGGGTTGCCCACACCCGCAGGGGGTGCCAACGGCGTGGTTCCTCAATTTTCACAGGCATCGCATGATGTGAGGTTTGGTAGAAACTAGTATCACTATCGTTTGCTTCCACGCGATGCAATGGCCAGGGTTTTTCGATTTTTCTATCAAGTTTTGGCAAAGTCTGGATTACCAGCTTCATGTTAGCTCCATCTTATTACCAAATGAGAGGGCGTGGTTGAAAAAAGCTGTTGCCTCCATGCAATCGCCTCATGAGAGGGACGGGTTCTAAGAACATGTGCGTAAAACAGTTTCGGCAGATCTGAGCAATCAGAACGATCTTGGTTGTAAGCGTGGAACGGCTTCCATCATGAGCTTCCAAGGTGCTTACCCTCTTGGATAACTTGCAGGCACCCCACTGTCTAAAGCTCTCGCACTCAGCTTGCAAAGTGATTCCGCGATGCAGGCTTGAGCTGACAGGCATCTTGGGTCAATGATTGCGATGTCAGTTCCGGCGAGCTTTCCAGCCAGGAGGCAGATCATGGCAGATCCCGATTCACAGACCCAACATTGGTGGCATCGTCTCTTAGGGCTGGGGGGGAGGTTTAGCACAACAACGCCTTTCTTGTGGTTGGGCTTTGAAGTTGTCGCCGGGTTAGGGGGGGAGGACGGCTTGCTTTCTATATTCGTGGTCAGAAAACACGAAGTACAAGCTTGCGACGCTCGGAGCAAGACCTTGCCATTGAAATCAGAGCTTTGAGGTAAAACACTCATCGCCGCATTGCTGTGCATCCAAAAAAGCGTGTCAGCAAGAAGTACCCAAAAATGAAGTAAGGCGAAGTCACGAAGCTGATTGGCCGTGAAACCAAGCAAGCTCAACACAGGTCAACATGCTGACGCCAAACCGGCAGAAGAAAACCCAGATATCTTTTGCAAGATACCTGCCGCAGATTTGGAATTTGCGATCTGCTTTGAGCGGTTGCATGTAGAATCTTGTTGTTCCGAGCTCCTTACCCCAAAGATGTCAGACATGCGTCAGCGGCTGCTCCAAGCTTGGCTGGTAGGACGCCTTGCGCCTTGCACTGGAGTCAGCCGCTGCTTCCCTACTTTCAGGCACACTTGCTGATGGTAGGGCCAGCATGATGTCGGAGCCCGGTAGCAGGCAACGACGAGATTGGTGCCACTGTTGAGGTGCAGCTGAGCACGTAAAACGTGTGCTTCAGCGAAGCTTCTTACGACCAGGTTTGGACTTTCTGGCCGCAAAAGCTACTGCAGTGGACCCAGCAGCAGTGCATGAAATGGATCCACAAGGCTGGATAAAACGGCGCCGTTGTCTTGTTTGGCCCAGGTGCTGCCCCGGGAGTTCTGCGCATTTGCGCCATCTACAAAATGCTGGAGTTGATTTAACGGTGGGCTGGACTGTTCTAGTGATGGGGTGGATAGCTGACAAGACCTGCTGTTCGTTCGAACCTCGCCAGTTGGTGAAGCTGCTTGGTGAAGACTCGTTCAGGAGCTGACTGCTTGCGATGTAGGAGGAAGGCCGTGATGCTTGGAGAACTCTGCAGTCTTCGTGCAGGAATGACTTTGATGGACAAGGCCGACTCATCGAAATCAAGGCCAAGCCCCTACCTGCTTAGACAGGACCACGGTGTAAACTGAATGCTGCATGTGATTGTCGGTGTGTGTGTGTGTGGCCAAGCTCAGAAAGTCGCGAATGGCAGATTGTTCACACAGTAGTGCGAGCCGCTAGCCACCCATCCTGAAGCAAGCTGAAGACGTTTCTAGTTTGATCATGGTCACCTCGCTGCTCGACGACATCCGAAGAAGCTAGCTTTGCACAAGTAGTTCTTCGTACCTGCCGACAAAACGATACGCAACACGGTGATAGTGTCCCACTTGCAGCCAAGGAAGTATCGGTAAAGTCCGCATGGCACGTTTTCTTTAGTTTGCATGGCGCTGTTTTTCCATGGGGGAGGTAGACTCTGCGGCATTGCTGGAATGGGTAAATTCCTTGGCAGTCGTCGGCGAGTTCATCCAGACCTTGGATGAGTTGGCAGATGGCAAAGCCTTACTTCGAGTCATGCACGATCTGAACCCTGATATGTTTCCTGAGAGCGGCTCGGGATCTGAACTGCGAGTTCTTCTGCACGGACTTCTGGAACACTTTAGGGGTCGACAGGGATGTGCTGAGGCGGTGGCCAGATACTGGATTGAAGAAGGTCATCGCACAGTCACACCATCCTTGCTAACCCAGCTGGTGATTTGGGCAACTTTGGACAACGAGCTTCCGAATCACACGCATTATGTTCAAACGTGCCAGGAGCTCAGCGCACCATCCGCTGCAGCAATCGTTCTGATAGCAGAGCGGTTCAGCCTCGACTTGGACGCGTCTCCGTTGTCCTCCATGATGCCTGGACTTCCTCGCAGATCGATTAGTGGCTTTGCTGGGTCTCCCGGTTCGGACGTGCTGCCCCGTTCTGTGTCATCTGAGTTACAAGACTTTTTAGAAGTTGGACTGGACCCCGAAACACGGTTTCGGAGATTGAAGGAACACTATATTGTCTTAAAGGAGGAGCAAGAGCGCTGGGAAGAGGAGAGGAGTCGGCTAAGCGCTGAACTTGAATCGGAGCGCCTCAAGCGTTTGGAGGCGCAGGAGAAGGAGCGCCTTGCGCAGGCCGAGCTCCGGTTGGCCGAGGAGGCCGCCGAGCGCGCGCGAGAGGAGCAGCGCGTGTCGCTGGAGATGAAGCTCGAGCAAAGTTTGTGGAAAGGAACAAGTGAGTTGAGGCAAAAGGAACAAGAAGTTGAACGTCTGCGGGAAGAAGTGGAGATCTCACGGGTGCAAGCCCAGAACAACCAGAAGCTGCACTCCCAGCTGGAGATGTACAAGAAACGGATGGAGGAGTGTCAAGCATGGAAGCGAGAGAAGGATGAACTAAGGAGGCAACTGGACGAGATTACAACATCCAGGCAGGCAGGCTCTGGCACAATGGAGCATTTGCACGCTCGTCTGGCAAATCTCAGAGACGACGTAGCGTCGGTTTCACGTGAAAGGGACGAGGCACGGCTGCAAATCCAGATGCTGCAAGCTCAACTTGAGCAGGCGGCACAAAATCCTGGCCAGGATCTTCCTCAACCAATGCAGACAGTTGAATCAACGAGAGGAGCCAGTGCACCCAGCGGGGTCTTGTCCAGCCAGCTCGACTCGGTAAGAGAAAGCGAGCAAGAGAAAGTTGCTCGCGAGTTAAAGACTCGACTGGACTTGCGAGAGCGGGAACTGCAGGTGCTGCATTGGCGCGGACAGGCTGAAAGTCATACGCTGCAAACGCAAGAAGCTTTGATGGCGTCGTGTTTTCATGAACTTGGCCTCCGATACCATCAGCTGAAAGTGCAGCACGAAGTGTTGCAGAAGCAGTTGTGCGCCGAGAAGGCAATCAAAATGCTTCTGTCACAAGCTTTCATTGCAACGTAGTCTGGCAACGAAGTAGGCCGAGCACCAAGTCCTTGTAAATGCTTGTGCCGCTTTTAGGAAGTTGCAATGCCTGCTACAAGGACATCAATGCCTGCAGCTCAGAGCCTTTGTCAGCCTTTGTGGTAACTTGCATCATTAGGTTGAAGACAATACAAGACCAGACGACCAGACTCCGTGACCAGACGTCATTTAGACAGAGGAGTCTAAACATCGGATGGCCCGTGAACCCCGCTACATTAAGCTGCGAAGTCGGCTGTGGAGATTGTCGTACATATGCTTTAATGTTCTCGGTTGCAGTTTGCGCCATCTTCGAAGCCATCTCTTGGTGAAGCTTTCGGTCAACTTGGAGCTGTGCCCTGGCCATCGAAGGAGTTCTTTCCACCTCAGGCAGTCTACTGTAGCGAAGTGTGCTGAGTCGTCTGCCAGAGGCCACGTAAGGATCCGACCGCCATGGAGGACTGGAGAGTCGACGGAGCATACCAGGAGACCGGATCGAGTTTATGGGGACGACCTGATGACCCCGTCGGCGCAACACTGCAAGGAGAACCTGGATCCTTGCTTCAACACGGTGGCCTGCACTTGCATCTCGGACGGAGGAAGCCGGACAAAGCCGGTCAGGTCGAATCCCTGAAAGTCTGAGGTAGTCCCATCCTCCTCCTCATGCCGGGCCAGCACGAGGTCCCTGACCAAGCATGGTGCACTGTACACTGTGAACATTTGTGAACCGTGCCAAAGTAACGTCTCTGTGCTTGACAAGATCTCTTGCATGAGCATTGTGTGACCACTGCAAAATTTGCACCCCCCTAAGCCTGCACCGTGTATCTTGCCATTCAGGCTGCCAGCGCGCAATTGTCGACTTTGCAGTTCCATTTCCAGCGCTTTGTAAACGCCAAAGGCGGGAGCCACGAGCATTTCCAGCAATTGCGCGCTTGTCACAAGATCCTATGCAGCACGCCATGAGAGGTATTGACCCGTGCCACTTCTACGGCATTCCCTTGATAGCACGACCGGCATCGACAGCATCGACAGCATCGACTCCGAGTCTCGGCCGAGTCTTCTGAAACCGCAAAACGCTCGTCATCTGCCGGCCTCGGTGTCCGATTCCTCCAAAAGCTCCAGGCTCTGTGATCGGGAGGAAGCACCCGAACCTTCCGCCTTCGAGAGGTTGGCCTCCTGCTTGGCGCGAGGCAGGAGAGCGGAGTTTCTTTTTTCTGTACGGATGGCAAGATGTGAGCAGCCTTCGCCCTCAACTGGATGGGGCCGCGCAAAGATCCGACAAGCCCAGCAGGGTTTTAAGAAGGATGCTGTGCCAGAGCGGAAGCACAACAGAGCTTATGGCCTGTGTGAACTGGATGCGCATACACGCCTTTGACTTGTTATTACTCGGTTTGTTTGCTTGTTTACGTGTTGCTTGAAAAGACTCTCATCGGACCTCAGACGATGCACACCCGGGTCGACAGACGATATAGAGGACATGACCGGGCCCAGGACAGCGTGCAGGACAGGATCCGCGCAATCAGGCTAGACACGATTTACAATGTCGAGCTCCAATGAGGTCCACAAGCCAGTGGGAATGTCAGGAAGGGAGCACTAGGGCCAGCTCGCACCGTTTTTGTGACAGAAAGTTGCAGCCAAGTGAATTGCCAGATGAGTCCGAAATTAAGGTTATTTTGAGGACTATGCAACAGTAAGTGTGTGTGTGTGTGTGCCTGTGTGTGCGCACACCAGGTGAAGCAGCAGCGCTTTATGCTTCCAAGGCCAGACTGCGTTTGTGTGGGACTGAACTAGTCATGCAGAGAGTAGGCGTCCTTGAAACGTCTACGTTACCGTTTGTGTCGCAGGTCTGTCCGTTGGAGTTGAAAACAGGCTCCCAGCTGCATTGTGAACTCTGTTCCTTCATGGTAGCTGTTGATACAGTATAGCGGTATTAGCCTCAAAAAGGTCTCCGCACCTTCCACTGGCTGGCTGTCGGCACCGCATCTCAAGACTCTGCCCGGCTCCTGGCGTCTTTGAATAATCTTGTGCCCATCTTGCACGGTGCTGGTCGTAGGGATCGGGATGGCAGCACGGCTGAGGCGCAACGTTGCATGTTAAATCATGCCAGGGCTTTGGTGCATTGACTGTCTCTTGTTTTAGAATCCAAAAATGGATACGTCATGCTTTCCGGTGCCTGAGGTTTTTGTCTTGCACGGCTTAGCCAACCATCACACAGTCCTGTGCTTAGGGATACAAGTGCAGTTTCAGCAAAGCCACGTTGTTTTTGCAAGCTTTTGTGTTTTGCACACTTGAAGCCGTGCCTTTAACGCGCCCAGACAAGCCTTCTTGGAGTCGAGCCTCAGGCTGGTTTCAGTAGCCAGGGAGGGTTTAGGTGAGTGATTTTTCGATGATGTCTGTGTTTGTCACCACACTGGCTGCACGTTCTTAGGTTTTCTGTTAGTGTAATATGCCGTACCGGTTGCACTGATGGTACTTGTAGTGTGATGGCACATTCACGAGCCAGCGGAAGCATGCAGAAGCTGTTACAGGAAGCGCCAATGTTTTGATGCAGCATCGGCCTTGCAGGCCATTGGAGAAGATGGTGGAGTGAAAGCCGAAGGCTTGAGTTACGTCATTAGTGAAGCACACAGTACACTGTAAAATTGTTAAAAGTGTCACGTTTTTGCTGCCAGGTTTAGATTTTTACTGTCGTTCTTGGCATTCGCCTTCCTGGTTTACAGGCATTGCATCATTGTGCTTGGACACCTTGCCGCAGTTGAGTCTGAGCCTCACCTGATGCGGAGGGGCACATCTTCGACTGAGCCTGTTACTGCAGCCCTGGCTGCTCAAAGGTCGTACAAACCAGCATCATGGTGTTGAAAAGAGTTGCTGCCCTAATCTACTGCACGCCATGATGTTGCTGAGGTTCGTACAATCCATTGTGCACGGAAGCTGCTCTTCATGCAGCGATGCTGGAGGTGGGTACTGCTCGGATGGCGGACACCATTTTTGCGACTGCGAAGTATCAAGTACTCCCGGCAACTTGTGAGGCTTCATGGCCAACCACGATGCTAGCGGAGGCGCTTGAGGGACAGGGTTTTCTGCCTGCGCGCTTCGAAACCCTAACGCGCTTCCTGTACTGCAGGCCAGCTCGCGTGGGCGTGGCGGCGGCCGCACACGTGGTCGTGGGCGTGGTCGTGGCGAGCCCAAATCCAAGGCTTGAGACCAGCACAAGATCAGTTTGTGGACACGAGAGTGGACGCGAGAGTCTGGGTGGTTGGCGAGTGGGTGCAGCGGACCAGTGAATGTTGGAATGTTTGGCTAGGAGAGGATGGCCACCACCCAGACGCAACCTCCACGAGGAGGAGACGGACGTGCTGATGTGCTTTGTGCACCTCAGGCTTGAGCCCCAGAACAGCAAAACGCCTGTTAAGGTACGAGCGAAACTGTGCCCAATGTTGCATAAACACGTGGACCATGACCTGCTCCCAGGTGCCGCACTCAAGCGTCCTTCCTGGTGAGATGCAACCGTCTGTGGGGCCTGCAACTAGGCTGGTCGTTGATGCGACCGATTGCCAAAAGTGTAGCAACAGTGCGATGGATGCCGGATGGTCGTGTAGCATGTTGCTTTGTGTGAGTCAACGTGCAGAGTGCAGCAGATATTGAAACCACCGCCCTAGCTCGCCCGATGCCTTTCTTTCAGCTATTTGCATTGGTTGCCACCATGTCTTCGTCTTCGGCGGTTTCCTCCACTACCACTTCGGCGGCTGTTGACCTAAGGGCCGAGTTGCCCTTCCCATTTGGAAGCGACTGTTGGCAGCGGAAGACACACTTCTGTTTTCCAAGAAACGGTGCTCCAGGTTTGGCACGGAAAATGCCGGTCGTTCCCAGCACGGGGGCGTGGACCGAGTGCGAGCAGACGCCGTGTCTTTCGGTTCGATTTGTGAATCGTTCGATGACTTGTGTAGCACATTGTTCTGTGCATGAGCACACGGGCTTCCCAAGCTCTTTCACACCCTCTCCACCCTGAGCTACGGATTGACGGGTGCAACGTGCGATCTTGCTGGCTGGCTCTTGGCTGTGCGCCGTGTACCTCTGGAGCACATCGGCACTTCGAAACATGAAAAGTCTGCCGTGCCATTTGTTTCGAAACTCGAGCTCGGTCGGCGGCCAATGTTGGTTCCTTTTGATTCTCCATTCTGGTATATTCTGGTAAGCTTTTGGGCACCCGAAGTATGAGCGGCCACATGACAGGCATCCCAAACAGGACAGATGTTCACTGTTCACGAGCAGGGTCCGCCCAAACACATGCACCTTGATGCAAAGACATCTGGAACTTGCAGGCCGAATGCAGAACCTGAAGTACGTGCTGGCTTCCCAGAAATGTTTTCAGTCATTGTTGCATGCCTCTCTCTTGCTTTGGTGTTGTTATTATTCTGTGTAGTTGCACGGGGTTGTGCGTCCTTTGCGCGCTGTTTTTCACCACGAGCAAGACCAGGCCAAGCGGCCTCGAAACTTGTCGGGGTCGCTGGCCCCTCTGGCCGCCTTGCTGCCGCATGGACAGCATCTTGAGTTTAGCTCACACATCTTCAAGATTCTTCTTTTCTTCGTCGACCACTCTTGAGGCAGCAGCCGCCACGGCGGCGCCTCCAGTGCTCAGGAAGTCCTAGACAGCAAATTGCAGCAGACCACAGATGCCAGCAAGTTGTTCGATGTTGGGAGTGCTGTGGAAGTGCACGGCTGCATCTTTCATGGAACGACGTGATTGCAGGAACAAGTGGTGGCACGCAAAAAGGTTCTTCTTTCCTGACCGAGCAGGAGGCTTGTGAAGACACGCTTGCTGGTGCTGGTGCTACAACCCTGTGCGTTGAACGTCAGCCTTTCGCAGGTTGCAAGCATAGCGGCGGGAAGCTTCAAGTTCGACTTTTGATGTGGGGACACGGTTTATGTGTCGGTAGCACAGCTTGGCGTAGAGCGCGCAGGTGCTAGCAAGGGACTAGCAATGCACCTGCCTGGAAAGCCCAAGCAGAGTTTCAAGACTGAAAAGGTCACGGGAAGTTGATCATGCATGTACCGTATTTCCCTCACTGTGCTGTATTGCACTGTGCGAATTCGTGGGACGCCGTATCGTCCACCATGAATCTTCATGAGTCTCAGCCCCGATCACCCGGAGTGACTCCGAGCAGGAAGGGCACGCACGATGGAGCGCTTGAGATTGGGATTGCCCAGAAACGACAGCCCGCTCCGAGTTGGATGCATGCCCAATTCTGTCGTCGGCCTTGTTGCGCTGTGATGTGCCATGATGTGGCAGAACTGGCATGTCTACGCCCTTCATGCAACCTGAATCAGTTTTGTGTGAGAGGTTAAAGGAGCAGCCTGATGGCACCATCGTGGCTGGCTATCGTGACAGGGTCGCACAGTGGGTTCATTCAAGAAAAGCCGCTTCTGGAAATCAGCCTTGCGTATGGTGCAGGTCAACAGATACGAGGTTGAAGTAGCGCAGGACAGTCCGAGAATCCTTTCTCCAATCAAGCTTTATGGTGCAGTGCGACTGCAGAGGAGGGCGGAAGAACTGACATACACCGATACACCGATACACCGACCGGGGGAACACACCGATACCGATGCACTATACAAGTACACCGAGTGGAGCGGGGGTGTGGCGGGATATCGGCATATCAGTAAAACTGCGCAAGAGAAGAGGGGTGATTTCATGCATTTACTACTTATAAGACCCGTCAAGTCACTGAGGATCTAGGGATTACGAGAACATAATTTCTCTGGTCAAGAAACTGGTCCAACAGAACTCCGCAGCAGAATTCAATGATTGGTTTTCTACAAGCGTGTCCATAGTGAGGCAGATGTTGCAGCCAATAGTTAGAACATAGAACATCATAGACAACTTCCTGGTCAAGATAATGATTACAAGCAGCCTTTCTTGAGCTCTACTACAAGCGGTGCGTCGGCGTATCTGTGCGGGGGAGGGAATTGGCGGCGTATCGGCGAGTGGCGTATCGGCGTGTGACGTGGGGGGAGGCTGGCGGCCCTCGTTGCATGCACGCTGGTCTATGGTGAGGTCGCACTCAGCTTCTGATGTTGGCCAGACGCTCCTTCATCAGCTCCTACCAATAGTTGTTGAGATGGCTCGTTGTTCAATGCGTGTCAGTATGTTTCAAAAGACTTCCACCAGTGTCAGGATCTGTGAGTTTGGGAGCATGTGTGGTTTCGAAACTTCAGCACCTTGCCATGTCTACCATCTAGAATCTAGGTTCAGAGCAGTGTTCGAAGGCAGAGCCAGATCTGTGCCCAATCACTGCATGCAAGGTTTTTTCAAACTCCCGTCTCAGTTCTCTGAAGCTCCAGGAGTGCTTCCTGCGGTATTTTCGGTCCAAGTCCGGAAACGTGTGGCATGGATCTCAGATGTGTTCATCGCATTCATCGCAAATGAGATATCTCAGGCCTAAAGCATGCCGAAGCCGCACGCGCCTAACTCTCGACATTCTGCATGCCAGCACAGGAATGCAGACGACATCATCGAAGCATTGGCAGACTTTGGAATCAAGGCGCAAGGCTGTGTGAAACATGGCCTCCACCAGCTTGTGACAAGCGTCCGAAGGCTTCAAGCCGCACAGAGAAGCTGGCGTTGAAGTCTGTGCTGTACGGCGTGGCATGATTGGAACTCTTTCTCTTTGCCAGTGCTTGTCCCGAGAATCGTGGGTTGAGTAGTGGGTGGACTGTGGCATGAAACAGATCTGGCATGGCAATTCGTGGCCGATGTTCCGATCAATGCGAGAGCTGTTTATGGCAGGAGTGAGCACGAGGTGTGCCGGGGCAGATGTGTGAGAATGGGGCCCTTCAGAGTCTTGAGAGTCTTTCATGTGCATTTGCCCAGCGTGCTGCGTCCTTTTCTGCGTCTGATGCCCACATCTACGGAACAGGGTGATGAGGTCGGCTTCAACAATTTCTGCACCATCATAGAGGAGGCAGCGCTCCTTGCGGCACAGTCAGTCAAGGTGGACGAGAAAAGCTGTCAGAGTTTCTGTCACTGGCTTACCATGCAGGCCCGCAGCAAGTTGAGATCAACACGGTCACTTGCTGCTGGAAGCTGTGCGTGCAGCTATGCAAAGTAAACGTTCTTCAATGTGTCTCACCTCGATGGTGGTACTGCTTCTTCTGATCTTGGGCTGCCGAGGTCTTTCAAGCGTGGAAATACGCTGACAAGGAGGACGTCTTCCAACTTTTGTCGGGTCGGTTCAATGCCTTTTGCATCCTTTTGCTACTCAGGGCATGCAGCGTCCTGCTTGTATCCTGTCCAGGATGCTGGGGGCTTGAATGCAGAGGCCGTGATGCAGTTGCTGGAGGAGGGGCCTGTACGTTAAGCAGCTAGTCCATCGTACATGTTCCACATGCAAGCTACTGCGAACCGACGTATGCCACCGACCCCTTGTCTCATTTCCTGTCTTCGCAACGCCGTGCACGACAAAGAAAGCGTCAGCCTCCTAACAGCCAGAGGCTCGTACTCTCCTCCGCCAACTAGGGGCTCGGCCAAATGTGCGTCTGCGAGCAAGTCCAAAGCTCCTCAAACCTTAAACTCCAGACTCCAGACCCTCAAGGCCGAAACCCTAAATTTCTGAGGCCAACCCGAAACCCAGAACCTCTCAAGCCTTAGTTTTATCGCTAGCGCGGGGCCGCCTCGGCACCGAGGCGGCAGGAAGGGGTAGGGGGGGTGAGGGGGGGAAGGCGGCATGCCCGTCGCGCAACAAGGGGTGTGGGGTGGGGTTTTTCGGGCGGGGGGGGGGTGGGGGGAACGGGAGGGGGGAATGGGAGGGGGGAACGGGAGGGGGGAACGGGAGGGGGGAACGGGAGGGGGGACGGGAGGGGGGAACGGGAGGGGGGAGGGAGGGGGGAGGGGCAGGGGCAAGGGGGGGGAAGGGGGTAAAGGGGGGGGGGAGCCTCAGGGCTGTTGCTTGCGAGCTGTGAAGCTTTGGGGGCCCTAATCCGGGCACGTCGTCCGTGGCTGGATACAGGTCGACTACAGGGAGTACCCATTTCGGACCGTGTATCGGCCGCAATGTGGGTACACAGTGGTTTCCTGGACTTGGAATGAAGCCTAAACCCGCAGCCCTTCATCCTAATTTCGGAACCCTGAACTTTATGAGCCACTCAAGCACTAAACCGTGAAACCCTGCTCAGAAAAAGACATGTGCAAGTATGAAATAATTGAAACGCTGGACAGATGAAGATTCTGATCTTTTGTAAAGCGGAAAGCATTCACATGCTAACTTCTTCTTCGGGACCTGAATCAGGTGCTTTAGGTAACCTCATACTGAGTTGCCCTACGACTTGCCTAAACGGTAGTTCAACATCCACAAAACTAGCTGGATAGGCAGTTTTGTGTCAGTTATTTCAGAATTTCATTTCAAACTTGACCATTTGTCCGGAAGTTGTCTTTTAACTGTTTGTCGGGAGCTTGTCTTGCCGGATCTAATCCGGAGTACGTTGCCACACATGCACGACAATCGAGCCGACACAAGGCCTGTGCCTTGCTCATTATTGTAGGACCTGCAGCTGGCATCCGGCAAAGACAGCTTGGAACGTCAGTATGTCGAGGCCACGCTTCACTGAAAAGCCGTCCCTTCGAGCCCTCCTTAGCAGAGCTGCGTGTTTCAAGCCCTTCCTGGCTGTGACGAGGCTATGGTTTCCGACTGTCGCACAGACCCGGTGGGCCCCCTGTTGCCTGCCGTTGGTTTTGCAGATTTGCGCTTGGTGGGGCCAAGGTCACAGGCTTGATTGGACTGACGGAGGCCCCTCGGCTCCTCGAACTTTGACATGGCTGTCATATGCTTTCAGGCAGTTGAACGCTTTCGAAGCCTGACCTTCGTGGACAGGATCCTGCCAGTTAAATCTCTGCAAGGTGGAATTCTTGGTGTCTGCCGTCCGTGAGTACATGATGCAATGCCAGCGAAGTCGAGAGCGGGAGCTGCAGGCACGGTCAATTCCAACAGCAATCGGTCTCAGCACTGTTCACTCGGTGTGATCGAAGAAACTAGTACTGCATCCTGGTGCAGGCAGATTATGAACTTTCGGACAAGATGTTTCAAGAGCGACACTGCTGCATTCTTGCAAGGTTTGATTGAGAGTAGGAGAGGGTTGCGCATTGGTGTGCACAGACACATTCAGCATGCATTCATGACGCCCAGGTTCCGGAGCCAACTAATCAAGTTTCACGAGTTGCCAGCCTAGTCTTCGTGGGTTACACCAAGATCGAAGAATTTGGATGACAAAAGATGCCGAATCTACGGGTATCATGTCCACAAGGTCTTTCACAGAGCTTGATGATGACGACAGCGGCGCATTGGATGAGCAAGAGGCTAGAATGGCGAAGTTTGCTTCAGCTTTCAAGTCCATTGCCTCCAGGCCATGAACCTGCTCACCCATTTCGGATGTTTAAGTAATGTCTCAAGCCGCTTGGCAGAAGGTTCATGCAGTGTAGATGGGTTTGGCGCCGCGGGCTAGAATGGCGGCTGCAACACAGGTATGCCGATAGAGAAGAAGATTCAAGCTCAGGAGAACCGACAGTCAACATGCGCTTTGTTCTGACTGTTTGTTGCCCAGAGGAGATCATCGAGTGGTACTTGAACGAGTCTGAGGATCACACGCTTTCCTTCCCCAGGTCGCTATGCTGCCTTGATCTGATATGCTGGCTAGGCACTGAGTCGGCCAGGTTTCTCTCTGTCGTGAAGCACTTGCGATCATTGGGAATGGACGAGAAACTGGAAGTGGCCGCGTTCCAAGTTGTGAGGCAATGCTCATGTCGTTTGTTTTGGTCAGAACTGGCGTGGCTCAACAAGATAACCGCGCCAACAGGTCGAGTCACTGTTCAATCAGTACGACCGCGATCAGTCAGGAAAGCTGACGATAAAGGACAGCTGTTTGATAGGCCCATTTGCCACATTGCCATTCATCCTCTACTGTGGAGGATGTTTGTCAAATCCTTATGGACCTTGAGATCAAGCCCAGAACTGTGCTGGAGCAGGAGAGAAGAGACTTGGAGAAGCGAGAAATGTGAAGAAGAGTGGAATCCAAGAAGAGCTTCCGAGTAGTTTTGGAGAGAGCATCGTTCAGCTTGCAGGAGCATATGGCTCAACTGATCGAGGCAGGCTCTTCGCCTCAAGCTTGTGCGACGAAATGCCGAGTAGACCTGCAACAGTTCAGAGCGGCGCACGATGGCACGCGATGGCACAAGATGGCACAAGATGGCGCAAGTGTCACGTGCAGGAGGCGGATTCCGAAGGAAGCGGGCAGCTGAACGTGAACGAACTGTTGTTACTTGCCTGCCCCTCAGTTCCTACCTCGGAAAAAGCCAGGTCCATACATCCACCAGGCAGTGGGATGACTGCATATGGCTGCTTTTGACAGGTCCAGAGAATCAACGAGCGAGTCGCCGAGCTTGACCGCATGGAAATCTTGAAAAAGGCACAGGCCGACGAACTGAAGAATCGGCACACACACACACACACACACACCATGTGCATGTGGCATCATGCGTGGCATCTGGGGCATGACCGTGTGAAAGCCTCTTGTTTCATTCTCACAGGCGCTGAACTTTACGACGAAACAAGCCAGCACCCTCTGGGAAACCTTCGAGGTGTCTACGAAACTTGTTGTCTTGAAGCTGCCCACTCATTGCCCATCATGGCTTCTTCTACATGTCGCCCATGTCGCCCGGCACTTGATGCAAGGAGCTCGACGAAGAGCATGAGGGCTTGGTACCCATAAACCAGGCATCAGCGTTGGCAGTCTCGCCTTGCACAAGTCAATCACTTTGTACGTTCCGCCTTGGCCCGAAATGGCTTTGAGAAGCTAAGCGCTTGCAAGTTCATGGTGGTGCTGTCAGACCTGCTATCAGCTTGAGTACCTTCGGAAGCCCATGATCATCCAAGCAGCTACTTGTGCAGCTCTGTGTGCGCATTCTAGGCAACGTGCAGAAACGAACGGTTAGTGCTGAGCTTGCTGAAAGACAGAGACGTTGAAACGATGAGCGGGCGTGAACAAACATGGCCAGAGTTGACGTGGCATGCGGGGCAGGTCGAGCAAGCCTTGTCGGTTATGCGCGAACGCCTCAGCATGAGTTTCCTCGAAGACGTCTAGGTAATTCAGCCAACTTTGCTTCATGGCAAATTTTTGGAGCTTTTTGTAAGCTCAGGATGGCAACTTCCCGGAGCCAGATTACAGCGCTATGTGCCCTTCTCAGACTTGCGTGATGAAACCCATTCGCGACAATGCGATACGAAATCCGCGAGGCCAACGAGATAGATGTTGATGGAAATGGGTCGCTTCCTTACACGGCTTTGTCCATGCAGACAACTTTCAGCTCCACATAGCAGATCTTGCTCTGTGTGAGTGTTCTCATGTTCGGGTTTGTTGTTTTCATTGTCAAGAGACGTGAATACTTCACTACCAGCCAAGATGGTGCTTCGACCTGAGGCACTTGGATTTTCTGGAGTTTCTGCACTTGATGCGCCACTCGGATTGTTAGTACTTCCATGATCACTGTCCATTTTGTCCTTGAACGATGGTCACGTTGCTGCACCAGCAGCTAAGCCAAGAGTCTGGGAGAGCTCATGCAGCGGCATGAATGCCGCTTTCATTAGCTTTCGTTGGTGGTAATAGATAGATGGGATTTATAGGGTGGTTGCACTCTGCTCCAAGTGGGCACGTTACCATGAGCTGACATTGAGAGCACCGCACGAAAGTCGGAGCTGGGCAGCGTGCATCAGCAGAGATGATTTCGCACGGAGAGGTCGCGTCCTGGATGATGTGCAAACTTCAGGCTCTATCTTGCGGCGGGTTGCGGTGGAGTTCAGAGTAGTGCAGAGTAGTGCAAGATGAATTGTTCTAGCTTCAGTCTAGCTTCTGAATTGGCCGCAGGCCCGAAGCTGCAGGCAGATGGCAACCTGGCCACAGATGCCACCAGCTGGATTCTCAGACTGATGACTGAAGTGACCACTGACGCTGGCCAACGGACGGCGATTGATATCAATTGGTGCATCGGCACAGGGGAAGACGACGAAAACGAAGCTGGCGACAGGAAGGACGGAAAACGGTTGTCAGGCGAACGGCCCGGAAAAGAGAAGCCGTCGGCTCAGCGAGAAGTTTTGCCTCAATTAGACATGATTTCTTTGCTGTTTGGTCGGCAGTTGTAACGTTCTCCGACGGCCGTTCTTGGCAGTAGCCCGTGTTCAGCAGTATTCTTAGGCGAAAGAAGAATGCAACGGTGTGCGGTACCCCAGTGGCTCTGCAAAAGGGTTCCATACGTAGTAGCTGCGTACTGGCTTGCTAGAGATGGTACAGATGGGATGTATCGAGTACCACCACGGTGAACTGCCAGAGGCCAAAAATGGGCGCGGCTGTGAAAAAAACCTGAAGATAGAGCTTGGACTTGTCACGGCAAACGTCCTTCCTCGCAGTCCAAAAGCAAGACCTGACAACTTTGCTCGCAATGAGTACTTGTGATTGTGATCCAACAAGCCCAGACGGCGAGGAGCGCGTTTCACTTTCCGCTACAAGTTGTACATAATGGATGTGCATATGCAACCTACTGCCTCATGGCAAAACACGGTTGCAGCCAAAAGCAGAGCGGACAGCGAAATGGTTGTCTGTACCTGGGCCAAAGATGTCTGTGTTTAATTAGTCCAGGGAAGCTCTGCGGTGTTGACAAAGGCAAAAAACGGCAAGGAAGAGACGGTGTCGCAAAAAAAAACCCATACTACCTTCGACATGCTGCATGGCAATGCCTCTAGTGCCGAATGCTGAGATGTGCCGGTACACCCTTCACACGCAGCAGAAGAGACAGGCTGAGGCTTGCTGGCAAAATGCACTTCATTCCTACGTTCAGCATTGACATAAATAGTCAGCCCAATGTACTTATGCATTGTTGCCTTTTGCAACGGTGGGTCTTGCATCCAGCGTTACTTTCAGCCACTCTTGAAAAGAAGCATCCCTGCCCGGCATGGGCCAGACATGACTTTGCACTAGTTTCGTCCCGAATGCAAACTGAATTCAAAAGTTGATGCGGCCTTGCTATGGGCGGACGCCTCTGCTCTCACGCAATGGTCGCATGTGCAGGAGCGTGCGTGAGTGCGTGAGTGCGTGAGTGCGTGAGTGCGTGGGTGTGTGTGTGTGTGTGTGTGGGCCTTTTAATTGCTTTCTCTTACTACTCCTTAACTCCTTAAGTGGAATTCAACGAAACTCGCGCACAGCTTTCTCCGGTCATCCACAATTCTATTCGGATTGCAAATTGTTCAATTGAGTTCGGGTATGATCTCTGAGACAAGCGTCATGAAGCACGGACAACCGTGGAGTCGCTGTCAGTACTCGGGGGCCACAAGCATGCCGATGCCCAGGTCGCTAGCTGAGTGCAAAATTTCCGCACTGCTCAGATGACTTGATGTGTTTGGCATCTTTGCCTCTCTGACCGAGGCCAGCAGTTGCTCTGTGCAGGGACCGCAACATGGCGGGCTCGGAAACTGCCCACAGGCCGCGAACATCCTCTTTGGTGTGCGCTGTTATGACCGAGAGTTACCACAGGTCCTTCCTGCAGGCTCATCTTGTTTGTACGGTCCTCATAGTCAGATCTTTTGCAGCAGCTATATTGCCGGTGCAAGAACTGTGTCCAAGGCCATCTTGCAACGATGGCTACGAACTAGATGGCTTCGCCACCTGTGAAGCAGGCCAGCTGCGTTGGGCACCTGGCAATGCAACGAGCAGAATGTGCAAGCTTGTTTGTTTCCGAGCACTCAGACGAAGTTTTGCGAGTTTGCACATGCCCTGGGGACGATGGAAGGCATACTCTTCCGTACGTGGTGTGTCAGTATGGATCGCACACACTCACGTGACAATCCGGCCGACCAAGCTTCACGAAAGCTAGTCAGCCCCGGAGGGCTGAGGAGTTGCCTACCAAGCATTGGCTTGGCGTGCGGCCGTGTACTGAACCCAAGAAAGGAAAAGTCATGGGCAGAGTCTTTAAATGCAAGCTGTACCTCCCAAACGAACCCGAGCAGATTCGAAAATCATACAAATCACAATGTGGGATTTCCTAAGAAGAGCTTCAAGCGAGAGAGTTAAAGGAACTCGGGGGTGAGGCGTTTTTGGGAAAGTTCAAGCGATTCGCTCGGGGGAGTGGTGCCTCGGTCCTCTGCAAGCGGGCGGAGATGAGCACCCGGTGTGCCGGAGCACGGGGTGAAGGGGGCAACACCGGAACTCCGGAGCTCGCACGCTTTTACCCAGGGCAGGGGTAGAAGCGACAGCTGAGGCATGCCCCTCTGCAAGCCAATCGGCTGCAACGTGTCCGAGGCACGGCTTCTTGTTATTTCAGAGGTCCCGCATTGGTTTGTAGACAAAAAGCGGCCATGTGCAAGCATGTGATGTTTCCATCGTACACGTGATGTGTACAACGAGATAAGCGCCAGGCCTTGGACTGGCTCGACATGGCGATGGGGGACTGCCCAGAGTTCTTGGAGCTCTGGCGCTTAGCTGCCACGATCTGCTAAGCCAGGTCTCGGGACCTTGTGAAAGAGACAATCGATGGGTTTGGGTTGATTTGTGCTGCGAGAGTAGCTCCTGCGTGGAGAAGTTTTTGCACTTTCGCATCTGCTTGTACGTGCTGTACCTGGACTGATTTGAGAAGCGCAGTGTGTTGAACTACACTGCAGCGGATCAGGTCAGGGGAGGCTTGCGAGCTGCAGTGTCCCGACGAACAGGAACTCAGTGCTCCGCTCGGTTTGGCCAGCCGCAGCTCTTCCAAGTTTTCTGCATGCTCAGACTTGCAGGTGATAACATCACCTGCTACCTGGGCAACCTTACTGATGTTGTTTGCTCGGAACTTAGACCTGCAGTGACTGCAGATGCTCTGCCCGTCGTATAAACTGGAGCTTTGGACATGACGAGACAGGCATACATAGGATATAGAGGCATGTCAGATCATGTTGTTCAGATCAGGCATCCCGGCTGGAGGGTGGCCGTGCCCACCTGGCCATCAGGCGCCCTCCGCTGCTGGCAGATTCGGTTGGCAAGTGCATCTCAATCGTGAGCCGTACATGTCTGCAGGTCAGTCCTGACTCGCTAATGCGATGCGTGCCAGGTCCTTACATCTTGCCCTGTGCCCGACAGTGTCCACAAGGAACCTTGCCACAAGGGAAGTGCCGTCGTACACTGAATTGGCATCAAGGAGCTGCTGAGGGAAAACCGGAGAGCTACTGAAAATCAACGTGTGATGAACATGGGGTTGCAGATAAGCTTGTCCAGAACATGGACAGCTGCAAACTGAAGCTGCTCACAGTCACAGCATTGCTGACAGTAGACATTGCGGCGCCAGCACGAGTAAGGCCATGTCCCCTGTCCACGTACAAATCAGGACAAGGCTGGTTTCGGTAGAACGTGTACGCTTCACCATGTTGTTGCAGTTGGTGCGAGAATTTCTTGCAGCTGCTATGTATCTTTGCGTAGCCTTGAAACAGGTCCTTGGCCATGTGCCAGATGTCCTCCAGGGTCGGATACAAACCGTACAGGGAGGCCGCGTCATCGAGTCAAGTGATGTCAAGCGATGTCAAGCGTCAAGCCTGGACAGCTGTCAGGACATCTGCCGAATCTTGCATGTGCCACGTGTGCCACCTACAGGGAAGCTTCTGGTAGCCTCTGTTTAGTGCGCACGGCAAGTGTCTCAAAGGACACGTACTACGAACTGCGGGACGTCAGCAATAAGCTGGTGTCGGGGACCAAGATCGGAGCAGCCCGTGAGTGCGTGAGTGTGTACTGTGCTGCTAATGCATGGGCTGTCAGGTCGTGCATTCCTTGCCCGAACAACTCCGGCGTTGTTGGTTTGCATCGGCATCAGCACGAGGAAGCGCTGCTTTCATCGTGCCTGTTTTTCGTCAAGCTGTTTCATGTAGGCCCTCTGTGACTTTCGACTAGGATGCAGCGCGTGTCTCGATATCCATGATTTGAACCCAGGGTTTAGTAGTTTCTGTTGATGAGATGCTTTCCCTACTCTGGATAGCCAGGCCATCGCAATCACACAATTCAGCTTGCGGCTTTGGAGTTGTGCAGGACTGCAGGTGCTGGGATGGTTTTGTGAGAGAACCATCTGCAGAGGACGAGCGTCTGGGGCTAAGAGCAGCCTGCACGACCAAAGCAACGTTTTTGTCACCTGCTTAGGCCTGCAGTACTGTCGACCGGCAGATCCCTGCAACGTCAGTGATCTGTTTACAAATCTCACAGGCCGACACGTAGAACTGTTCGCTTCGACTATGAGACTCGAGTGAGAGCTGGTAGGTCCACAAGCCTACAAGCTCAACATGGGCAGCTGTTTCGTCCTCTACTTCTCAGCAATCATTGACCTTCTGCATGCCTCTGCTGATCCAACTCATAGCAGCCTTAGCAGTCTCAGCAGCCTTAGCTGAGGTGAATCACGGGCGAATGCCTCTTTGCTTCCAGACGGCTTGACGTGTAGTCTAGCTTGCAATGCGGGCTTCGGTGCCCAGGCCTACACTCCCCAAATGCCCCACCTGCTCCAAAGACCTCCAAAGACGAAAGCCTGGTAAGCCACGTGTGAGATTCAAGATGCCTCCCAATGCCTTCCTCTCCTCATTGAGCTTTTGTTCACACAGCTTTTCTGCACTTTTAGCTTCTCGGGGTGCGGATGGGCATGGAAGGACATGGAAGGACATGGAAGGACATATGATTATTAACAGTGGGGCACAAGTTTACTGCTCGATTAAAGTCAGTGCTTTTCCCAAAAACACGTTGTAGGGAGCGTGACTGGGTGATGGGAGGGCGCGTGGCAGCATGGAGTGAGTTAGGGGGAGGTGCGAGGTCGGTTTGTGACGGCGGCACGTCGAGCAGCGTGGACGAGGGGGGGGGGTGGGGGCAGCCCGGGCGCAAGGTCGGGTTGGGTTCCTGGCGTGACCTTGTTTGGCGACGGACTTTTGACGAATGCAGCTAGACGGAGAGACTGCGCAGCGTGCGTTCCGGTGTCGGCAGAATTGCCCGTATTTGCCCATACTTGCCCTGCAGTTGGGGTCCGACATCTTCCGCGCCGTGGACTTGACCTTGGCGTGTGAGGCGCACTGTTGGGACAATTGGCTCTTGAGGGACTTGAGTGAGTGTCACACCGCGTTTGGCACCCTGCAAGGATGGCACTTTGGTACGCAGACCTCCAGAAGGATATCTGTGGTGCCTTGCGTGCTTTCCAACGGTTCTACTGGTAGCGAATGGGGGTAGCTGCCAATTGAGACTTTTGAATTGAGATAGATTCATGAAGCACGTTTTGCTCAGACATGTTACGACACGATGTTCGACATGTTTCATGTCCTTGCTCATGAGAAAGTCACAGCGATCAAGCCTTGCTGAGCAAACATGCAGCTGGCTTAGCTTCACAGCCAAGGTGCTCAGAAGCTTCGTGGGAGCTTCCTCCACTGGTCTTCTTAGGCCATAACATCATATAACATCGACTTCATTGCTTCACTTCTGGACTTTCTTGAGCTGTGCGTAGTAGCCTGAGCCAGGCATTACCACAGCTGCGACTGTCTTGGGTGGTGCAGCGTGCAACTGAGCCAGTCGGGTTTAGTCACTTTAGTCCCAGTTTTACTAGCAAGAGATGCTCTCCGTTGTTTGCAACCTGCTAGGCGATTGAGCTGCGCCAACACCGCCTCGAAAGGCGATATGCCCTGCCCTCATCATTCTAGTGCTGCCTATGACATCCTTTGACATGAAGCTGCCCGAAACTCCTTGTAAGGCCCAGGCGCTGAAGCCTCGACCGGTGCACTGTCCTTATCGAGAGTCCACTACACGTTCTCGCGTTTTACCGGCTGTCGGATATTTGTTTGTAGATGCCTGTTCTTTGCTTGTGCTTTGCCTCATTTTGTATCCCATGTGCTGAGGCGAAGGCCGAAGCGGGCTTCCTCAGGCGCGTCAAATGACAAAGCCACCGTGAGCTTTTAAGTTTATGGCTTCCGATTGTGGCACGAAGCTGCCATTTTGGAAGGTCTCTGTGCTCGTCTGGCAGCTTGTGCATGTAGAACTGTAAACGAGTTAAGATCAAAAGAGTGCTGCGGACCGGCATGAGTCAGTTAACGAACTCGAAGCAAATACCTGTACAGTTGTTTCACTGCATTTCACGGTATCACCTTTTTCGTATCTGGTGGAGAGGAATGGGCTCATTCTCAATGCTGAAAACGGGTGTGTGCCTGTGCTATCAAGAGGACGCAGAGGCCTCAAGCAAAGCACACGAAACTATCCCAGAAGCAATTGCAGCCTGGCGGTCACGGAAAACTGCAGAACACCGCAAAAAAGGCGGCGCTGCAGACAGGCAGAAGTTGCTGAACACATGGGAAAACCCCTACAAAGGAATCACTATCACTTTGGCACAGAGGTGTTCCGGCAGAAGCGACAGCGTGCAGAATACACCGTCCGCTGCAAAGCTGCAGACCCGAACTGGAGATTTCAGGTGGGGACAGCAGTTGTGGCCGACGGAGCTAGGGGGACCTAACTAAGCACAGTGGACTGAAAGGAGGTTGCATGTGCTGCCCAGCAGTGAAAACCGCCTTACCAGCCTTTCCCACATGATCAAATCGCCCGATGAATTCATGGACTGCCATGCGTTGTGCATGGGGGAGATCAGGGAGGTCCTTGTAGGTAGTCATGCTGCAGAGTCATGCTTGTGCCACAGCGGTGTTTGGCAGCTCACCACCCGCGTCTCCACCACCCACGCGAACCGAGTACGAAGCTACGGCCTTCGTGTTCATTATGATGGCCAGAAGGACGTTTCCCTGACTATCATCTTGGCGGCTTGCTCGGAGGATTCCCTGTGTCTGCGTAGTCGGATCCCCCGGCTCTACAAGGATCCGGGGTTTGTAAGTCGCAAGGCGGGGGCCAATGAAGGGCAACACTGGCAGACTTCGTCTTGCCAACACGTCAAGAAGGGCAACATGGACTTGTGAACCAAAGACCCCGAAGTGCTGGTAGGAGGGTAGCCGACCCGGGGCCACAAAGGACTGGCAATCCACACGCCCACAAAGAGCATCGCATCGGGACGCGAAGTGAAGCAAAGGCACCATCGCACCTGCCTGTCTCAACTCCCGAGCACATGCTGCAGAAGCCCGTTAAGCTATGGAGATGGTTCTTGCCTGGATGATGCATGTCGGCAGAGCAGACTGCACATGCAAAAACAATACACCATGCGCCCCTACTTTGATTCTTCGCTTGACAACTCGTAGTTGCGGCCGGAGAGAAAGCAAAGAGACATTTGGCCATGCAGGGCGTAAGCGGAGTCGGTACTCGAAAGACTGAACTGCAACAGCCCCTGGGCAGCCCGCATTGGCCAAGATGCCATGGCTGTGGAGAGAAAGTCGGAGAGGGCCGCGGAGAGGCCCGTGAGGAGCTCAGAGAAAATGCTTCTGGCACTGGTTGGCACCGGCTGTTCTTTCTCGTGACGCCTTGCCGTCCCACTGCAGAGGCTGAGTTGGTGATTGAACTGGACTTGACGAAAGCGTCGGGCCTGGGACTTGAAGTTGACTGGGCCGATGGAAAGACTCTCTTCATCAAGAGTGTCAAGGAGCCGCTCTTGTGGATGCTGTGGATCCTTGAACTCAACGCCTTGCCCCCTGTTTTCAGGCAGAAGGTGCCGTGCCGCACTGGAACAGGAAGCATGCTTCACGTGCGGTGGCTGCCGGTGATCGGATCATCTCGATCAATGGCAAGTCAGGGGACCCCAAGGTTGGCTCTTCTTGCCTTCGTCAAGCTAATGACAGCCAGTATAAAGGAAACACACACGCACGCACACGCACGCGCACGTGCACGCACGCGCACACACGCACGCACACGCACACACACGCACACGCACCCACACCCACACCCACACCCACCACACCCACACCCACACCCACCACACCCACCACACCCACAACACCCACAACACCCACACCCACACCCACACCCACACCCACACCCACACCCACACCCACACCCACACCCACACCCACACCCACACCCACACCCACCCACACCCACACACACACACCACACCCACACCCACACCACACACACACACACACACACACACACACACACACACACACACCCACCCACACCCCCACACCCACACCCACACCCACACCC